ATCCTGTGGGCGGTAGTGGACCCCATACCCATCCTGTGGGCGGTAGTGGACCCCATACCCATCCTGTGGGCGGTAGTGGACCCCATACCCATCCTGTGGGCGGTATTGGACCCCATACCCATCCTGTGGGCGGTATTGGACCCCATACCCATCCTGTGGGCGGTATTGGACCCCATACCCATCCTGTGGGCGGTAGTGGACCCCATACCCATCCTGTGGGCGGTAGTGGACCCCATACCCATCCTGTGGGCGGTATTGGACCCCATACCCATCCTGTGGGCGGTAGTGGACCCCATACCCATCCTGTGGGCGGTATTGGACCCCATACCCATCCTGTGGGCGGTAGTGGACCCCATACCCATCCTGTGGGCGGTAGTGGACCCCATACCCATCCTGTGGGCGGTAGTGGACCCCATACCCATCCTGTGGGCGGTATTGGACCCCATACCCATCCTGTGGGCGGTAGTGGACCCTGGAAAAGTTATTCTTAAAGACCCAATTTCCTACTTTAGCATATCTAGATCCTCCAGCCGCTTCAAAAGATTACAAATTAATTCTAACAGCAATAAAACATTGGGTCCAAACTAGGTTGTTTGTTTATAAAAAAAAGCTTGAAAGTCCCCAGATCTATTTTGAAATATATACTCGGTATCAAGCAGGTATTACACCGAATTGTATAATTTGGTAAAATGCCCCATATACGTACGGGCTCGCCATAGCCCGTGCTACTTTGAACTTTTTGTTCCGGGTAGCGAATCTTTAACAACAACAACAACAACAGCCCCATATATTTACTATCTGATTAACGAAATTATATTTGTTATGTACGAGAAATCTTTTATCTTTAATAAGTCTGTTTCGAATACTGTTAGAAATGCACAATTCATATGTTATTTAACTAACAGCCCCATTCAGAGCTGGAGAATTGCTGCCGAGTATGTGTGTGTATCTTGCTGCTCACTGTACAACCCGTTCTCGTAAATTTAATAAGTCAATATTGACTTATTAAATATGTGAATAGGTGACATACTTAACATAATAGATACCCTTAAAAAGATTCATAGAAAACACCGACCTTACCTAACCTTGTTACTATCTTAAGATAAGCATCTTATTGCTTCGTAATTACAATTATTACCTAACCTATAATAGGTATAGGTTAGGTAATAATTGTAATTACGAAGCAATAAGATGCTTATGTTAAGATACTAACAAGGTTAGGTAAGGTCGGTGTTTTCTATGAATCTTTTTAAGGGTATCTATTATGTTTAGTATATCACCTATGCACGTAGTTAATAAGTCAATATTAGCTGTCTAGGTGAACAGACGCATGAGGTAAACGCAGCCCAATCGTATTTCGCGGCCCCACTGTGTAACCAACTGAAATTCCGAGACTACCCGTTGTGTAATTAGTGCCTCGTTGGCAAGTAACTGGGAATCGTCTTAAGGTTCACTGTCTTCAGGAGAGTAACTTAAAGATTAATTACACTTGAACCAGTATTGACTTCCGAGGTAAAACGCATTTTATTATGCAAATATATTTATGTATCGTGCAGGCAAGTGTCTCCGAATACCTTCCGTTCAAGGAGTGTGGTGTCCTCCATTCTGATGTAGTGATTGCCCGAGAGTGTTGATTGATGAGGTGTCATCGTGTTCATCAAGTTCCCTTGTGAACACCGTGGGGGAGAGGTCGGCCAATTATGAAACCTTACGTTTTGAAGTTTTATATTTATATTTTTATGGGTATATGTTTGAAAAGTTTCGGGCCCATAATTTTTATAAAACTTGGCTTTGATTGACGTGTGGAGTAGCGTGATCTACCTCTTGTTTTGATGCGTATTTACGTATGAATACATATGTGTTTAGTGATACATGGAGACTTTGCATAACACCGTTCCTCCCTTAGGTGTTAAGTCATTTTCTTCAGCGTCACCACCATTGACAGATGACATGTTGATGGTCAGCTGTCGCCGATGACATCCAGTGCCCGTGCAAGAGTTGAGATCTTGCTCTCTGTTGACACGAGATAAAGAGGAGGACCGGACAGTCCCTTCCTTTATGCTCTCCCCTTTATCCTTCCTCCCCCTCTTGTATTACCAGCTTCCTCATAAACCTCCCCCCACCCCCCCCTCTCTCTCTCTGTTTTGTTATTTATTTTCAATCTCACCCTTCCCTCTTTCTGTCTTTCTTTTTTCCCATTACCGTCCCATTTACTATACTGGTAAGAGCGGGTACTGCAGGTAACAACTTCCCCCCTCCCTCCCATTCCATCCATGTAATTACGGGTTGATGGCACGAGATACTCCTTTTCCTTCCTCAAGTCATTGACACTAAAGACCTCTTCCCCGGCGAGTGGCACTCAAGGCGGTGGTGCGCCGCCTCCCCCTCCCCCCCCCCCCGGTCACTAGCACGAGTGACGGCAGTGGCACTCAAGAAGGCGGTGGTGTGCCGCCTCCCCACCCCCCGACGGTCACTGGCACGAGTGACGGCAGTGTCAAGACTCGCGCTTGCTCGCAGTCTAATCTATTAAAGCAGCCCGTCCTCCTAACGTGTTCCACCGTCAATAAAGCGGTCATATTAAAGTGTTCTCTCCTAACTTATCAGAGGACCCAAAACAGTAAACGGGGACACTATGTCACTAGGAATGAGGGAGGGAGGGGAATGAGGGAGGGTAGGGGAGGGGAGGGAGGGAGTGAGGGAGTGGGTGGGTGAGTTTGGGATGGTGTAAACTGATTAACTGGGAACAAACAAACCAAGACGTCAAAGAAATATGCTGGGAAGAACAGTTAGATAATGCAAACTTAAGCCAGGGCTTAATAAGCTCAGTAGCACTAGAATTGTGTGCAAGTCACATGCACACTATAGGAACAACCGTGGACATCTTCAAGAGAAAACTAGATTGTTTCCTCCAAGGAGTTCGGGGCCTAGAAATAGTTATGTTAGGCTGTATAGTCACTGTTCCAAATTTTAGGTTACCACTTGGAGTACAGTATTCCAGTAGTACAAAACGTAATTTTTGGCGGGTACAACAGTTCATTTTTATACGCTTGACCAATATTTGCTACAAGTACTGTCCTCTTTGAAGGTTGGGTTGCTTAAAGTGTTATCATTAACCAAGAAAGTTACATAGCCAGGATGGAATGGAAGGAGGTGGATGTGTGAGAAGGAATGGGATAAAGGGTGAGGGATGGAGGAGATTGGAGGCGGCGGAAGGAAGGAAGGAACGAAGGAAGGGAGAGGGAAGCAGGAACTGGTTCCTCTGGATGAGTGTAAGAAATATCTATATAGGGCTTCCCTTTAGGTACCTCCTCCCTCCCTCCCCTCCTCCCCCTCCCAGATGGATGCTGCAAGTTGCAAGTGGGTCGGGCGGAGAGTATCAATCAAAAAGGGACAAGGGTCACAATTACAGCCTCGTGCCCAGTAATTGGCACTAAGAGACAGACGAGCGGACGTAGTTGACCAATGAGGAAGAGTCAGCCTTGGCTCAGTGGAGAGGACCCATGCCCAGTAATTGGTCACTTGCTGCCCAGGGGCAGGGGATGGAGGGAGAGGGGGGGGATAATAGTGGGTGTTGTGGTGGTATCTATCAATGACTATCAAAGTGCAGCCTAGCAGTTTATGCTCCACCATCTAACCTTGTTGTACCTGGTGCGTCATATTTTAACTAACCTCACGTTCGAAATCTTTTCTCGAATCTGGCCATTGTGATTGGAGGTGGCTTCCACAACATTTTTTATTTTGTTTTTGTTTTCTCTATTTCCAGCATTTTGTTGTGTCCTCTCGTCCTACTTTTTTGTCCATATTGTCTATTCCCCCCTCAGTACATTGTATATCATGGATCATATTCCCTGTCTGACAGACCATTGAAACATTATCTAACACAGTGCACAGTTACAAACCCAATAAGATTTCAATTTAGATTCAACAGAGCAGAAGTTGTTGTTAAACACATGGGGTATAATCTTACTGAGGTGAACATACGAGTCATCAATATTCATACTCCGCCTAAGTAAAACAGAAAAAGAAACATGTAACACTTAGTTGGCCAGCCATAGGCTTTGGGCCCATGCAGAAATATCCCTGCAAAAAAAACAAAACTACTATGTATCTTCTCTCCTTTATGGTTGTGTTGGTGGTAGACTTAATACTAGTAAGGGAGGTGGCACTAGTGGTTGTGAGGTGAAGTGTGTGTACGTAAGTGTCTCGACTTGATGTGCTTGCAGACGTGAATGTCAGCTCCTTGGCCCGCCCTTTCCAACTACTGTATTGGTCAAATGCAATGGTTATTTTATTGTATATATACATTTAATATTGTACATTCAGTTAGCTTCATCTATTTAGTCATCCAACCAGTTCAGTTTATTTGCCGTTCTTACCCCGAAGTAGTTCCTTATGACATCTGTGACTTATTATGTTTGGTTACGTTAATATGGTGTATTATTCTCAAACATATGAAATATGAAATTAAAAAGCTACTACATTTAAATATCCCCTAGAATTTCATTTACAGAAAACCAAATTCTACAAACCATTTCAAAGAAAATGAGTTAAGCATAGACTTTTTATATTTTAAACCAACGCTTTATAATAAAATAAAATTATAACCTGAGAATATTCTCTGTTTAGGATAAAGGTTCATTTGCCAGTTTACAAGTAGGTTATTATTAGAACTGTAATATGCTTTCAGACCATCACAAATTCCTAGAGAACTATCCAGTTGGCATGAGAATGGGTTTGGTGTTTTGTGTAATCACCGTACCTTGAGGAAAGGCTCCAAATATTTTCATAGGCAGGTAGTATACTTATATAGGTCAAGGGAGGGGAGGATACATTTAGCGTTCTATGCTTAATATTTTGGCGAAATATGAAAGGTTTATATTTTCCTTGCGTTTTTTTTATTTACTTTTGTTGATTAGGAGTAACTATTAATCATTAACCCTCTTTACATTGTGGCTGTTGATGACTCGAGATGACTAATAAGTAATGTTATTTGCTGTCAGGAGTGAAGCATCCCAACCACATCTGTGATGGGTGCAAGCGACAGGCCATCGCTGGTGTGCGATGGAAGTGCAGCTCTTGCTTTGATTACGACCTCTGTACCACCTGCTACATGGCTGACAAGCACGATCTCGCCCACCCCTTCATCAGATATGAAACAGTCACGTCTAAAGGGTAAGTTACTCACCTTTGTGCCGGATATGATACAGCAGCTGTAGGAAACATATTTGGTTCACTGGTGTTTATAAATAACTAATGGGGTTACCCAGTGTTGCTTGAGTGACTAGAGGCCGTGTCTAGTGTGAGGATTTTGCTCCAGCTGACTTAGATTCAAATAAATAAGGTAGTATATGAGAGCTTATACCTGGCTCTGCTAACCTTAAAATTTAGCTAGTAAATATGAAAATTACATCAAATCACTCATAAATAAGGATACTGTACTGGCAACGGTTGACACACTTTTAGTTCATGGATAATAAGGAAATGATATTACAATCTGTGCTAACCTAGTTTTAGGGAATTGCCCTAATTCAGCTGGCTGGCATGGCAACAATAAATGGATCAGGGGGGACCTTGATACAAGCCTAAAGTACATGTACCTATATACTCAAGTTTCATGTCCCCAACAAACCAAAAAATGAATGAAGTTAACCATGAGAAAATTGGTAAGTGCCATGAAGAGGATTCGAACCTGCCCACTGGGTACTTTCAAGCACATGCCTTGAACATTGGACTGATATGCAAAAGGTATTGTAACCTGGGATTCAGATGAATCTAGTGGTCCTAAGGCATCCAGCGGATACCAAATCAGGGTTTCACACATTACTATACCTGCATACTCTGGTGTGGTATAGGAGTTCTGCCCACCAATGCTCAAAGAAATCATTTTTCTTCAAATGCACAAAGAAATCACATTTTTTGTGGATTGGGACTAAGTTTGCATTTTTCCATGTACCTGCTAAGATTCCTGTACATAGGATTGCCTGAAAATTCAATTGATGAGGAAGACTCTAGTTCTGGTATGTATTCTGTCAGAATCCAAGGTAAGACTCCATCTGGGCCAACTGCTTTGTTTCTCCCTAGCTCCTTGAGCAGATTTTCTACTTCATCTGTAGATGAGGTTATCTTGAGATGATATCCATATTGTAGTGGCTTTCTGAAAACCTCTGTGACTGTGTGGCAGGCCTCCACCCCCAGGAAGCAGCCCGTAGCAGTTGTCTAACTCCCAGGTACCTATTTACTGCTAGGTAACAGGGGCATTAGGGTGAAAGAAACTTTTTGCCCATTTGTCTCCGCCTCCACCGGGGATCGAACCCGGAACCTCAGGACTACGAATCCGAAGCGCTGTCCACCCAGCTGTCAGGCGACCCTTACATACTGTAGAAAATGTATTCTAGCATGTTGTTCTGATATCCATATTGGATGTGGGACGGGGAAGGAAGGAATGGTGTTTGGACTGAAACGCCGACCTCTGTGACTGTGTGGCAGGGCTTGGAGAGGAGAGAGATGCTGAATGATCATAGTTGGTTAACTTTGTGATTGTCTGGCTACAGCCTTTTATAAGGCTGTAGCCAGGATCGATGGAAAGGCTAGTGAGGTGCGCTGATTCCTAATTTGACGTTTTGCAATGGGCCCCATTACTCTTCATTGGAAAATGAATGTACAGTAGTGTCTAGCCTAGAGATACACTACACTTTTAACGCTTTATTTTTTCCAGAGTTGAGGTGAGCCAAAGAAAGAATGCTGAGAAAATTCCTCTGCAAGGTATTTTTGTTGGAGCCAAAGTCATTAGAGGACCAGACTGGGATTGGGGTAATCAAGATGGTGGTGAAGGTATGGTTCTGGCTTCACTTTAATTTTTTGTGAATATATTTCTGAAATTGCATTTATTATCTTTATGATACATATAATATTTGAGGTTTTTCTTGTAACATTCATGTCACTGTTTTTGTGTTCTGTGGAAAATAACCAAAGGTCAGACCACTGATCTACACAATAAAATAACTTACCGGAGTGATTGACGTGGGAAGTGTAGAACAAACCTAATGAGGCATGATTAAGAGGGGGGGGGATTCTGTCTGTGACTATATTATTTATTTCTGACTACCAATGCAAGCTATATCATCAAATCAGTTGTGGCTGATATCTTGTTTATGTTAATCGAAATCTCCACTGCCCACAAAAGTATTGGGTGCACTCTCTGTTGAACGTCTCGGTGGGTTTTTCAGGGAGCATACATGCTCTTTCTGGAATTTCTGGAAGCAATACATGCTCTTGGCAAACCCACAGCGTAACCACATTATATTTGCTATTGTTACTGTGATGTAACATTGTAACAACATTGTGGTTACATTGTGTGTGTGTGATGAATGGCTGAAAATACTGTATGTTTAAAACTTTGGAAAACCAACTCCCATGTCAGACTTCATAGGCGTTGTTGGTTGTCACAATAGGACCCAGTCCTACTTTGTGGGGCATGGGGGTTGAACCCCGACTGTCCTGACACTTCCCATACAATCACAAATCACTGTGGAAAGTTGCCTGAGGCTTACTACAAGCGTTAGCCCTTCATCCTTGGACAGGCACACTTTCTTATTTAATTGATATAAAATACTATACAGTATTATTTACCATATTTCTTTAATGCAACAAGTATAATATAGTAGTTGTTGTCCTTGTTACAAATTGCATTTATGTTTTATGTTGTGCAATGTTGCTATTCTTGGCTATAATGTGTGGAAGTGTGGTATTTTGCTCCATGTCAGATAATTAAAATACTAAATTATCATCCATCTTGATATTCTCTGCAAATGAATGAAATGTTAATGGTACCTGGTTTTTAATATTTTTACGAATCTTTATTATTGGTCTGCTTGATGGTTCGAGTTTGTTAAAGTGACTGCTGACACACAGTTTCAGATGTACAGTGTTATTTGATGACCAAACCACACATTAGAAAATGGAGAAACGATGACGTTTCAGTCCATCCTGGACCATTTGCATGTCGTGTGGACCTGGACCATTATCACATCGACATAATCAAATATAATGCAGTATTAAATATTCAAAATTTTCCCAACAGGTAAATGTGGCAGAGTTACTGAGATTCGAGGATGGGATAATGAATCGGGAAGATCGGTAGCCAACGTAACTTGGATCTGTGGGTCAACCAATGTATATAGAGTTGGGCATAAAGGAAAAGTTGATCTGAAAGTTCTTTGGGCAGCTACAAATGGTCACATTTACCTCCAACATCTCCCTGTACTTGGTAAACAAGAAGGTATGTAGTGTGCAATACACTTAGATATATGTGGGTACTGTAGTTATTATGTTATTTCTTCCCAGGTATTCTACATATTTTGTTTTAATACTGTATTTGTTTCTAATGTTTTGACTACCACATTCAAAAATGATATTGGTCTATAATATAGAGGATCTTCTCTGCTACCATTTTTTGTATATTTGAACTATGTTTGCCTTTTCCATTTGTCTACTAAGATTCCTGTACATAAAGATGCCTGAAAAATCAATATATATGTATATAAATTAAAATACATGTATAAAAAACATGTATAATATAATGAAATGGAGGAAATAAAGAGAACACACATGGCATGCATAGATACAATAAAGTACCTAAATTATTGGGACCACCTCAGAGCTCTCAAAATCTCCTCTTTGTAATGGAGACAAGAAGCACGAATCAAATAATATATACTGTACATGGAAAATATTGAAAGGCCAGGTCCCAAATTTGCAAAGTAGAATAACAACTTACTGGAGTGAAAGATACGGAGGGAAATGCAGAATAGATCCAGTGAAGAGTAGAGGTGCCATAGGCATAATCAAAGAGCACTGTATGACCATCAGAAGTCAACACCTGTTCAGTACTCTCCCAGTAAGCACAAAAAATATAGCTGGAACAAGGGTGAACTACTACAAAAAGCAATTAGATAGCTGGTCTGGCATGTTTTACAGGAACCTAAGTTCCTGCAGATGTGTGGGCCTGCTGGCTGCTCCAAGCAACAGCCTGTTGGACCAAGTTATCATAAGTCAAGCCTGACCCCAGGCTGGGCAAAGTGAGAAGAACTCTCTCAAGCCCTCTCCAGGTGTGGTCCGGAATTCTTTAAAATGTTTTCATGGGTTTTGTAGGTTGTGTGTGGCCTATTTTCTCCTACTCCATGTTCTATAATGTTGCATTTATTTACATAAAATTCTAATTGCTAAGTGTTGCTCCATATATTGCTTTCTGGTGGATTGTAGGCATTTATTATCATCATCAGTTTATCACCCTGCAGTGCCATTATATCAACTTCTCGTGAGTTGTCTTTTATTTATTCTCTTACCTTTCGATGTTCTTTCACCAACAAGAATATACAGTACTGTACCTCCATCTTTTTTAATTTTTCTGTCGCATCTCCAAATTGAGTAACCCCTCAGGAACAAGGCACTTCTTAAAGTATTATCTTCAAGCTGCTTCTGTTAGTATGACACTATCTGGCATCTTCAGCTGAATTATCATTTAACTAGAGTATTTTTAATCTCGCCCCATCCATGTGAGTAAATTCAATTTTCAGGAACATATTCCCTCTCCATTTGTCCTTTACTCCTCCTTCCTTTAAGGATTTTGCTGGTTTGTTTTTATGTACCATTTCACAGGCTCCTGATCACTATCACCTTGTTGAATGTAATGAAACAGCAATTTCTGGGTGAGCCCCGGTGGCTCCCTGAACCTACCATGACTGATAGTATACCATCTACTCGGTCACGTCGGCTACAGAATTCTTTCGGCCTACCAGGGACTAGCACCGGAACCTGGCCTCCTCACAGAGACACAGAAGGCAGTGACATTTATTTATTTATGCCATCACTGGGGGAGGACAACCAGAAAGTCAGCGAGTCATGACACCACTGCTGGCTTCAATAGTGACCTCAGCCTCAAGACCCGCCAAAAGAACTCCAACTATGTAAACAAATGATCAAAATATCTTGAACCGAGCGTAAGCTGCTGCGCCCCAACTTCCCCACACGCTTGGGGAAAAGGGGGAGGCAGCTCATGGTCAGCTGGTGTCTCTATCTTCAGTTCTATGCTGATGCAGTGTGCCAGGTTGCCTCTCTTCTTCTCTGGCTCCTGTGTTCTGCTATTCATTTAAATGGTGGTTTTTGCCCTTGGTGGCAGTTCCTATACACTGTGGTGTAGTGTGACCTAGGGTTTGAGAGTCCTTGAAGCTGCATGTGCACAAGGTTATCTTCCTCTTGTGTTACCTAGTGGTTCCCTTGCATTGCCAGGGTTATTTTCCCTGGAGTGTTCGAGAGTTGCTCCTTAAAGGACCTCCTCCCTTTTAGTGGCCTTCAACTTCTCTAAACAATCTTTCACATAGCACAGAATAAAAAGGCTTTGCCAAACTCTAGATGCACTATTAAAGGGAAATTTACCTGAAATTACAATGAAATTATTATTTTAGGTACAATAAAATTGTACTAATTTTTGCTTAATGTACTTGGTAGGGCAAAAGGGTGCCAAAAGTGCAAGGCAGTTTATTGCAATATAATTGATGCTTACAGTACATCTTTTAACTACTAACTGGAACTCAAACATCTTTTATCTTCAGAATCTGGCAGCAGTGCTGAAGTTGGAGTTCCTACTTCTCCTCGCCATCTTCCATTTTCTGTAGGAGAACGGGTACGAGTGGTAGTAACGGTAGATGAGCTACGCACAATGCAGGAGGGCCATGGCGGCTGGAATCATAAAATGGCTGAGGTTTGTTACCCCCCATTTATCTTTAGTTGCTTTAATAGTTTTCTATTATGTGGATGTTAGGCTGGAGATCCACCTTTCTAAACGTTTCCCTCTTAAGTGAAAAATTGATCCTGGATCAATTGTGCCTACCACTGCTTTAGAAAACTAAGCAGGCATGTATGGCTGTGTGTAATGTGAGGGAAGGTAGACCCATGGTTTTCAGGGGTCTTGGTAAACTCTACCACATCCATAAAAATCAGACAGTAATAGTTAAAATCAACGTATGATAATCGCATTACACCATGAATCAATGCATGACAATAACTGCACTTTAAGGGTTAATACATTATTCATCTTAAGTAACTCCTTATCAGTATGTGACCTGGGACTGGATTGCTTCACAATGTACAAATACATCTTATTCAAACACCTTGTAACAGATGATAAACAGTATCATCTGCTCTTGGCTGCTGCTGCTGCTAATGCTGTTCCTACCCTACTGATCCTATTTTACTCCTGATTCTCCTCCCTCATCCTGTTCTTGTTCTGCTTGTGCTGCTGCTGCTTGTTCTGGTGCTGCTGCTGGTGCTGCTGCTGCTGGTGCTGCTGCTGGTGCTGCTGCTGCTGGTGCTGCTGCTGCTGGTACTGCTGCTGGTGCTGCTGCTGGTGCTGCTGCTGGTGCTAGTGCCAAGACACTTGCCCTCTGCCTGTCATTCCTGCCTGTCCTGGATAGCCAGTGACCCTCACTTCTGTGGAGTTTGTGTTGTGTACTACGTCAGCTCGGTTGTTTAGGACTTGACTTCCTGATTCCATACCTGACTACTGTTTGCATTTTCTCAGGATGTGCTTCAGTTTTTTTTTTTAATCCATTTAGTCATTCATCTTTCTTATTATTATTCAGCCTGTTTGGTTAAAGGGACCTTTTACCTGCAGGTGTGTGCCACTTACTGGCACTGGACTTGTGTTTTGGTCAAGTGCCCGTTCCTGTGGCTACCTATTGGGTTGCGGCTGCTTTGTGGGAGCAGGCTTTACTTTGTAGGCACTTGCATCTGCTGTCTACAGTGAGTGGTGTGGATGCTAATCCTTCACTGTTATATGAGGAGGAATACAGCCATCTTGTCTTGGACACCTATACTGCTTGTCTTTTGGCTTCCTCTACCACTTGAGTAAATTTGAAGGTAGGGGATTAAACCTTAGACAAAAATGGGCTCACATTGAGCATGTAAGGTTGCAGATATTGAGTATAAACATCACACAAGAAGTAGTAGGACTTAAGGCTCAATGGAAAGGGTTTATCTGGGAAAGTATATGACACATTTTTTTAAATGATATTTTGTAGGAAGTACAGTACTTTACACCTGGTTGTATGAAGTGGGGGTCATACTAGAGTGTGACAGTACTGGCTCTATATGCTACTGTAATGTGTACAGTACTGTTGTGTGGAGGATGTGAATAGACGGGGTATCGTTTTTGGATAACTTTATACTTCTATTTCTATTTGCTATCTAACTTCTTCTGGGTTCTTGCTTCCTCACCCCACCCATGAAAGTGGGAAATGGAGTAGTGATGGTGATTCTGTTTAGGTAATTGTACAGTACTTGACAAAATATGAGGATTCTGGTACCATTTTCTAACATAAATTCAAGACTTTTAATTCCTCAACTAGTTTTCCTAAAGTAGTTTTGAACACTTTCAGTTCCTCGACAAAGTGGGCATCGTTCATCGCATAACAGACAAAGGAGATGTTCGTGTGCAGTATGAAGGATATACAACTCGGTGGACCATTCATCCTAGAGCATTGGCACGTGTCACATCCTATGCCCCGGGCGATGTGGTTACTGTTATAACAGATGTTTCAAAAGTAAAAGAATACCAAAAAGGTCATGGTGAATGGATTGAATATATGAAAAGTGTAAGTGAAAATCCTATGCCAATAATTGATTGCAGTTGCTTTGACAAGGTAGAAAAGCCAGTTTGCTTTTTCCTCCTCCTGACGTGCTACCATGAGTTTTGAGAAGTATAGTACATGCTCTCCGATTATTTATTTATTTGTTTTTATTCCAGTCACTGTGCAGCACCATGGTAGCTAACTAAAAAAATTACCCTGCCAAATTGGTTTTCTTACTTCTAATTTTGTGTTGGGTTATATTGGAATCTTTTCCAGGAGGGCTTCATTGCTGGCTCCTTGTTCCTACGTAATGGACAGCTTGCCCCAGTTTGAATCACACCAGGCCCTTGCAAAATTTTGAGTCTACCAGAGACCAGAGGCCAAAACCTGGTCCCTCAAAAAGTTACAGGAAGCAGAGGATCCGAGATCACTCTAACTGAAGGAAAACGCCAGAAAGGTAGGGTGAACCAAAACAGCAAGGTAAAATAAAAATTAGAAACAAGAAAAACGAATTAGGAAAAACTAGTAAAAAATGAAATTGTATAGGGTTAAAACCAATACAGTACAGATAACGGGTGACCCAGCAGGCCACCCGTTTTCTTTTTTGTCTCGGCCGACCACCACCGGGTGGCTACTCCTAGCTGAGGCCCCCCACACCAGGTGACTGCATGGCATGATCTATCTAATCCTGGTGTGGCCTTGAGTAGGTCGCTCCCATCCTCAATCGCACCTTTGCTCTTCGAGTTCTGGACTTTCAGGTAAGTGGAGGCCATCCTTTGAACAATGTCCTGCAGGTGGCCATTTTGCTTATGTATTGTTCCATATTTTTACTATTGCTTCATATATACCAGTGGGAAGGTGAAGTGGTGTGCAGGTGTAACTTCTCTGTGAGACTTGAAGTTGAAGGTTTCTTTATGGCTGGGGTATGCAGAGATTTTTGCATGCTGGCTTTATGGCATGCCGGCTTTATGTCATACCACTTATACCTCTTGCAGATGTGTGTTCTTATGCTGCTTCAGGTGTGGTTTCGTTTTGTCGAGTGATTCCTGAACTGGTGGAAGTCCCAGGTAGTTTCATCGCAGGCTCAGTCTTGGCTGGGCGTAGTATGGGATTCTCGGTCAGCTTCCCTTTCTCTTCCTTGTGCATCTATCGTCTGCTTGGAAACGTGCCTCTTGCTGGTGTTGGAACGTCCTCGGGTTACCCAGCAGCTTCTCGAGCAGTTGTGTGGGAGCTTGAATTTTGCTTGGGTGGTTTATCCCTTGTGCAGTGTTTGGCTCTGGGCTTTGTACTGGCTTCTCCAGTTTTGTCCCTTTCACCACTGCAGGGACTGTTGGGTGTGATCTCCATTGGCCCTTCCTTCCCTTCTGGTTCAACATTTTACTCTTTGGGCTTTTCAGGGTTCGATCCCTTGGCACCTTCCTTTCCTGGCACTCCATGTGTTTACGGGTGCCTCAGCCCTGCATTAGGATTTTGTGACGAGTGCTCATCAAGCTTTGCAGGGTCATTGTGTGATCCTTCTCATCAGAAACACAACATGGTATGCAAATTCATGGCAGTTTGGCATGCTGCGGGGTGCATTTGTCTTCCAGTGGTGTCCATGATCCAGATCCATTCCGATTGCTCCTTTGTGATTTATTGTCTGAATTAAGGGGGTGTTGTTTCAGTCGCTTCCTCTGTTTAGTTAGTATCTTAGGTGGTTAGCCTTCTGGAACCCATGTGGGGCATGTCCAACGTTCTCGTGGATAGTCTCTCGCTTCCATCCTATTGCTAAGGAGTGGACTGTCATTGATGTGTCCTTCTGTTGGTTTTGCAAGACATTCAGGTATCCTCAGGTGGACCTCTTTGCATTGGTGTAGAACAGTTGCTTTCTAGACTACATGGCACTATTCCAAGTTGGCAAAGCTCTTACGGGAGATGTGTTTTGGCTGGGCTGTAACCAGTGGGAGTTCCTGTTTCTCATCCTTGCAGTTTGACTTTTGCTCTGTGTTCTTGCCAGACTCGAGACGTTTTGTGGCCAGGTGATTCTTCCAGCTTGGTGGCAGTGGCAAATCTTTTAGTGTTCCAGCTGCATCTTTCTATAGGCCTCAGTGTGAGGTTTTTTGGCATTTTTTTTTTTGGCCTTTTTCTGATTGTCATTTTTGCTGTTTCTGTTCTGATGGTCTTGTCTTTGTTGTTGTGGTTTTTATTGGTCAGCTTCTCATGCCAAACACTGTATCTTGTACTGCTCAGCTTTGGTGAAGCCATTTTAGTTTGTGTTCAGCATTGATGTTTCCTTGGCATTATTTTGCAAGTTACTCCATGGATTTTTCTCCTCCGGCCTGCTAACACTTCTGAGCCTTCTTGGACTCTGGATAGGGTTTTGTTTTCTATTTCCTCTGTTCTTGTTTGCCCCTTCAGCCAGTGACTTTTTATAAGGCTTTCTTTTTATTGGCTCTTGCTTCTGATTGTCAGGTAGGGAAGATTGACGCTCTACTTAGGAAATGAGGGTTCTATCCCTTTGGCCCTGGTAGGCATTTTCTTTAGTGCGGCCTTTTTCTTTCTTTCTGTCTAAGAACACGAGACTGTTGGCTTCTGGAGTGGTTCCTCGATCCTTGATGATTGGTTTGTTAGGCTGGGGCTGCATCTTAAGTTGTGTCTTGGGGTGACTGTCCATTGTTTCTTGCATATCACCTGGGATGCTCTGGGTGATGTATTTTTTGTGGTTCTGGTGTCCCTGGTGCCTTGTTCCAGGGCCCAATTGTCTCAGTTTGTCCACAGTGTCATAAAGTTTAGTCAGCCTGCCGTCTACCATCAGGCCTGTAATGTGCCTAAGTTTAGTCTGTGGTCTTTTCCAGAATGTCTTAGGCTGATGTTCAGGCTCGGGAGTTTTGGCATTTAAGCATGAATCAAGCAGTCAAGACTCTGTTTAACGTGTAGGGGTCATGCCAGGCCTATGTGGCCTTGTGTTGGGTTTCCTCATCCCTGATTTTCCCTTTCTTCAGGGGTTATGAACTTGTGCTCTCCTCCACACCTGGTGAGTTCCCCCTGGTGATTTTGTTCTTTGTGATGAGATAGCAACAGAACGGAACTCTCCCGGAAAACCAGTGTTGAAAGTAATGAAGCGCCTCTTTCTTATGGGCCCTTTGGTAGCTTCCTGGATCTTCCTTTTCCATTTTAGGTGTTTTGGAGTGTGTGGACTTTCCATCAGATAAGACTGGTCATACCGTGCGGTCTGGTGTGGGGGTCCTTGTCTCGGGGTGGTTGGTTGAGACGAGAAAGAAAATGAGAGGCTTACTGGGTCACCTGGTTTCTGTACAGTACTTGTTTTCCCCTACTGTACTATTTCAATTTTATTTATTTTTCCTGTATTTGTTTTTCTTGTATTTTTAGCTTATATTTTACTGTAATGGTATCTGTTTTGGTTCACCCTACCTTTTTGGTGGGTTTCCTTCCAATAGTGATCTCTGATCCTCTCCTTCATTTGCCTCTGTGAGAGGGGATCAAGTTTTCTCCTTTGGTCTCTGGTAAACGTTCAAGACTCGGAAGGGGCTGGTATAAATAAAATTATCTAGAGCTAGCCACCGAAGGACCCTCCAGAAAGAAGCATTTTATTACATTCAATGCTGGTGTTAAATTATTTCTCTCCTATTATGGTGTGTATATTTGTCAAGATAATTCTCATTCTATTAGCCTTTTTATGTACAGTATCTCTATACAAGAAAATTCTATGCCATATTTATTATGTATCATTTTAATCAAATATTTAGACTGGTGCTACAGTGTTTACCATGTGAAGCTGCAGAGGTTAATACCATAAATTTTGGAAGTGATTCTTATTTATGATGATCATCGTAAAGGAAGTTATTTCAGGGAGCACTAGCATGACTCAGATATAGGCGACCTAGAAAAATTTCTCTATTCTGTATATGTCTTTGGTTTTCAATTTTACCTCTGGTGAAAAGGTTTGGTGGCAGTTACACCTGAAGGTAGCTTAACGAACTTGTTTGAATCACCACAGGTTATCTACTCATCAGTGATGCAATAAAATTATGAATTTGCAGCGTATGAAGCAGTGCAGATGACTGGTATCTGAAATGATGGAGGGGAAAGATTCTATTTCTATACTGGATTTTTCTAGTTGTAGAAGGTATATTATTTATGCAGCATACATACAAACATTACTCATTGCTTCAACAAAGGGAAAATATTTTGAACGGCACACGAAGAACTGTCAGTGATATTGAAAAACACTAAGTCGAGAATTGACTATATAGAAAATGGCATTTTGTCTGTAAGGATTTTATTAAATCTAACACGGCTACACAGGGCTACTATAGATGCATATAATCAAAGATGGAGTGAGCCCGGAAAGGTTGGTGGTCTATATATGTCAATTTATAATTTTGAAGTACAGTATCAGTTTTAAATTGCAGTTGATAGGTCTATTGAAAATTATACATTCACCTTCATTACTTAATCTTGCACTTTTCTGCCCTTGCCTCTTGGCCTTGTTCATTTGTAAGCACTGTCCTTGTGTATCTGTTAGAGTTGATAAAGAATGTGCAGGATAATGTCATCTTTAATAAAATCATTTCCCGACAGTGTTTCTCCAATGGGAAAAGTACTTTACAGTACTGTATTATGAAAATAAATACAGTATGTGTAAGGAAATATCATTTTTGTTTAGATATACATAATCATTTACATTTTCAATTAAGTGCATTACACTATAGTATTGTGTTAGATAAGAATGCGGTAAATTTGTTAGAATAGCAGTTGAGTTTAGATAGCAATACAGTATCATGTAGTAATGATGTTTTACATACTGGAGTAAGTTTCTTGTCACAGGCACTTGGGAAGACTGGAGTAGTGGCAAGAGTCTATCCCGATGGTGATCTGCGAGTAAATGTTGAAGGAAAGACTTGGACATTTAACCCCCAGTGTGTGACTATTGCTCCTCGCAGTGCCGAGTACAACAACACCATGAGGGCCAATGAGCGGCAGGAGCACCCTAGTGAGTCTGCAGGAGGTGGAAATGGTAAATGGTACTAAAGTAGTGTTTGTTAGGTTGTCTCGGCTATTGGATCTGCAGTATAGTTATAGTCAGGTCTGGCAGTATTTTTTAATTGCTTTATTACGGTATAATAATAATACAGTAATAATCACATCTTCATCTCACTCTTATTACAGAAAAATAAATCATTGTAAAAAGGTATCAGGTGACTGAGAATAGGACTTTCTGTAGCAAAAATAATGATATATATATATGTATAATTAGTGGCGAGGCACGATGAATATTTTGTTTTGTGTTTACATAATATTCGTACATAAGCAAATGAATTGATCAGTTTGATTTAGGTTATTACTAAGGTATTTAATTTAAACAAAATATGAAAGGAGTCAACTGTCAGAAAGATACTTTGGGAGAGTATTATTTGGAGATATTTCTTTCTCATTTGCTTTGCCCACGTATGTGTGAATTTGACTTTCTTTTGCTTTAATTTAATATTTTGTAGTAGCACGTATGGTGGAAAACGTTGGTTAATTTGTGATTTCATCACATTTTTGTCTCCATTACATTATTAATACAGTTGGGTTCATTTATGACTCGCAATTGAGAATTCTGAGTTCAAATCCTTGGTGGGGACAAGAATGGTTGGGTGTGTGTTTCCTATCATCTAATGCTACTGTTCACCTAGCAATAAAAGGTACCCAGAAGTTAGTCAGCTTGTTGTGGGGAGGGGTCAGTAATTTGACCTTGGGGAAAGGGGGCCTTGATATAAGCCTAACATGTATATATACACTGGTTGCCTGTCCTCTTGACATAATAAATTATTAAACCCTTTCGAGAATTTTCCCTCAGCAGTGGATTTTATTATGGTATATTTTAATAGTTTTTACTGCACTATTTTTTAAATATTTTATATTTTTTTAGAGCTCTAGTATTCATTTGCCATGCCTCTTATTTCATGATAATCACTTGCAATGAATATTTTTTTATGAACATAGAGAATAACAGTAATTTACATATCATAGTTGTTGCTAAGAAGTAAATACATGCCGAGAATGTGCTGTTTAGGATGTTACACGGGAGAATGTAGGAGTATGAGTTGGAGAACAAGAAATAATAAACAATAAGGCTAATACAATATGAAAATTAATTTGCAGTTTTTGCACATAAATGCATCTAGGCATATGCTAATTGATATATATCATTGGGCAGGTCCCCTAGCATCACTCTTGCATCAACTGCTTGATACAGAGCAGGACAGCTCAGTAGTGGACCAGCTTGTGAGGGAGGCCGCGCAAGGGCACACACAGGCCGTCTCTCACCTCCTTGCCAAACACCCAGATAAGGTCAGTTTCATAAAAGAAAGCAACTCAAGGGCAACAGACACAAGGTAAAGAGATTCAGTTAGGGAAAGCGTGATTGGATCGAGTTGGTGAGTACAATAAAATTATTATTTTGAGGGTTATGTCAGATAGATAAATAATCATTGAGAAAATAAGAGTGGAATGGAATGTAGTTTGTAGGTGGTACAGACTTGCTAAAGTAATTGAAGGGCTTCAGAAGGCTACATCTGTGAATGAGGCATGGTACAGCAAAGGAAGGTGAGAGATAATGATTTAAGGTGAAAGGAAGAAAAATTGGGCTCGAGTGATGTAGGAATGTGGTGTTTTATGAAGATGAAAGTAAACATGAAAGGAGCTACACACAGCACTTACCAGGATACAGTAAGGGAAAGTAGTGGCAAGGAGTAGTGGCAAGAGTGACTAGTAGTAGTGACATGATTATTGAGAGACAACTTTTGATAGATGAAATTAGTCATAATGATCATATACTGTATTTGTATATTGAGAGTCATTGCAGTAGACTCCTGATTGCAAAGCGTAGTCCAGGAACTGAAGCTTGTCCTGCAGGCTCGTATAGACGAGTACACCACTGTAAATACACAGATACCTGCACTCCATGTCTTAGGAGTGATTACCGAGTGGCCTGTTTTGGAGCACTGCTCCTTGTTTGGTGGCTTTTTCTTTCAGTTCTGTGGTGGCCTCAGATTCCTGGACCTCTCTTTGCTTCTTTGTCGTTAGAAGCCTGGTGTGTCTCCCAAGGCTTGGGAGGGTCTAGGTTGTAGCATCAGGGAGCTACTGAGCGAGTCCTATCAGAAAACCTCTTATTCCACTCACGTAAATGAACCCAAATGCTTAAATATATATTAAGAAAGGGACTTTTTCATTCAATTTTGAGACTGAGTTTCTACATGTTGATAATTTTAGTTTTAACATTGTTACCATTCATACATCATGTGTGATGTGACATAGTAGAGTTTGCTAAACCTTAAATTATTTGTTGTGTTGAACAGTACTAAAATAATCTGGTCATATTTATGGTGTCAGGAAAGCCATTTAGACATAATATTCTGCTAAGGAAGGTTGAAGGTTTTGCCATATGTTGATTTTTTCCAAATATAAGTATTGGATCTGTTTAATTTGATTTTAAATATCTTTTTCTTACAAAAATTGTCTCGTAGGCCTTCCAAATGTAAGCAAAATTGATGTACCTTTTTGTTTTAAATTTCAGCATAGATCTCATCACTGAACCAAGTTAAAGTTAAATACTCTACAATGACTGTGTGAGATGCTATGATCTTTTTGCACACTTATGTTGTGATGTTCAGTTTTTCTCTGGCTTTTAGGTAGATGGACGAAGCACTGGTAAAACGTGTCTGCAAGTGGCATGCCATCAGGGTCACATGGATATTGTACGACTCTTGCTTGACCATAAGGCTTCATTAGATATTGCTGATGATGACGGAGATTTAGCTTTGCATTATGCAGCCTTTGGGTAAGTGTGGTTCTTTAAGTTTTCCCATTCATTATCATTATTATTATCATCATCGTGATTAATACTTTTGTGGGTTGTGGTGATATTAGCCCAGAAACACAAAATCAATATGTATATTGATACATACTATATAGCCCCATGGAGAAACAAGCGGCATAGCACTTCAGCAAATTATCCACAGCTGTACCCCACCTCTTCATAAGATAAGGTGTTCATTGCATCTTGAGTCATTCATATTCACTGCAAATGCATTCATTCTCACACATTGTTGCAATTTTGTTTTCTCTTCCTACTATATCTTGTTTGATATTCACACTAAATCCTCAGTTTTTCACGTGCACATACATTACCTGTGTCTCCTCATTCCTTTTCTGGCCTATCTCAGCATCTCTTGCTTCAAATTCACATGAAGACACACACACTTCACCTGTTTATTCTCACCCATTTCATGTCTAACCCATCTCAGTTCCTGCTCCTCACTCTTATGATATATAGAATTTTGAACGTGACATCTATTGGTGCCATTTTTACTCTTCTGTCTTTTCCAAACGCCACATAATCTCCTCAGATTGTCCACTTCTGCCTCTAATTCTTAATTTTTCACGATCATGCCACACCTTTATCTCACATCCTTCTTTTCAACTCAATCTTCAGAGCAGGGTTTCTTCTGCAGAGTTGGCTTGTGGTGGATTTCCTGACCACACCTTTGTTGTTACCACTTTCCTCTCATAAGGGGTGTGTTGAGTTGAGTTTTAAGCTTCATCTCGCTCTTTGGGAAGCTGAACAGTGTGTTCCATGCCAGCCTTTTCTATTGTTCTGACCCTCTGTCTAGGGTTTTCTGTCCAAAGCCTTGTTCTGTCGTGGATTTTTGTGGTCCCTGCCTAGGTTTCCCCAAGTGTCCTCGCCTAATGTCGCGGACATCAGTCCTCCATTTGGGGTTTGAGTTTGTGGTTTACTGCAGCTGTCCATTTTACTGGCTGATGTTCTCTTACCAATATTCACTGTTCCCATGTTTTGTGACCAAATTTTCTTCTTCAAACATTGTTCTGGTGGCTTGAATCATGGCTAGACAATCGCCTAATTTTGCATCCAGGTGTAATATGTCTGCTTGGATTTGGGTCTGCCTGCTTTGCAGCAGGGTTAATCCATGGTTTACCATTCCATTTATATCTGTTGCCTTATTCTGATGTCCAGATTCCTTCCTCAGCTATGGTCTCCACTTTGGCTGTGCAGCTGGTTTTTAGTCTGGGTTCCTAGTCTTGGCAGGGCTTCCTTATTTAGATTATGATTCCTAATTCCCCCTCGTCCTTCCTTCCTTCATTCCTTAACATGTACTCCTGAGCACAGAGTACTGTATTACAATATTTTCCTTGAACACTGTTAAATTGTACAGTAGATAAAATATTTTAATCAGCAGTTTCTCGTCTTAACAATCAATACTTATGCACCTAACTGTATATTGTATTTTAATAAGCTCTGGTTTCTTTTATGTGATTTCTCTTTTGACTTTTAACATCTTTCATTAATACTTCAGGAACCAGCCAGAAATCATGGAGTTGTTGCTAAGAAAAAATGCATCAATCAATGTAGTCAACAAAGGCAGATGTTCTGCCTTGCACGTTGCTGTCAACAAACAACATGCTGCTTGTGTCAAAGTGCTTCTCAAATACAACTGTGATGTAAATGTACAGGTGTGTATGAACTCTTTAACAATTTCCTATTGAAGGAGTCGTATGTGTAAGAAATAATTTACCGATACTAAATACCCAGTGTTCCTAATTTATGTTTTAATATTAAACAATCACAGAATGGGATATAGAATGTATGTATTTGTCAAATTGGTACCAATAATAGCAAAGTCTAAATAGGGGGATTGCATTATGAATGCATAAATGCAGTATAGTATTGTGTGTGTTTTGTAGATCAGTACCATGTGAGAAGAGAAGATTAATGGTTTAACTAACTTCATCGTGATTACTGCACCATTTCCTTCTTTCATGATGTGGAGGCATTTGCCCAGAAAGAATAGGGGTGCAAAGATGTACTTAATTTTTTGTGAAGCAAATCAGGCATGAGTCTAATATTTAAGGCTCCCCTTGGCCTGGAGAGAGAATGGGGAAGATAGGGGGTTTCTGTCCATTCCTTACTACTGCAATTATTTCAAGGAATGAGGGGATGTTTGCCTCATTTGTTATACTGTACTTGGTTTTATTTTTGTGACAAATCTCAGCTGTTATCTATGCTCTATTTATGTTGAACTTGAAATTCTTTGTGTGCAAAGATTACGGCTAATAGTTCGTTTAATTTTTGATAAATAAATAACTCTGTTTTTCAGGATTCGTATGGTGACACTGCATTGCATGATGCAATAGGTAAAGATAGTATAGAAATTTTAGAGTTGCTTGGCAACTCGCCGCACCTGGACCTGGCACTACGAAACAAGCGAGGGTTCAACGTCCTTCATCATGCAGCACTAAAGGGCAACAACTTGTGAGTCCGTAGCCTAAGTGGAGTAATAGAGTATCTCAATGTTTTTAACCCCTAAAGTGTGGCTGTGATCAAAGGTGGAAAGATCCCTGCCTGTGTAGAAAAAAAGTAATAAATTAAAAATAATAATTTTTTTCATAAAATGATAGCTACACATAAAAAGTTGGGAATGCAAACAAACATAAAAATATATGTATTTTTGTGTTTTGTTAACATTGGGAGATTTCTGGGTGTAGAGGGGAAGGGGAAACCCATTTGGTCTGTGGTGGTCTTTGGTGGCTTAAATTTTCTGACGAGTCATTGATGGTATTAAGCACAAGTGTCATGAAAATACTTGGAGATAATTTATATCATTTTGAAAATGTTGAGTGCATGCACACTTGCTGATAACATTTGTTCTTGCAGTGCTGCTGAGAAGCTAGTGTTGCGTTCAAGACAGTTTGTAGACGTTCGGAAAGAGGATGGCTTTGCAGCACTCCACTTGGCTGCACTCAATGGCCACCGACAAGTGGCCGAGACATTAATCACACTTGGACAAGCAGGTGTTGACATTACTAATAATAAAAAACAAACTCCACTTCTCCTGGCTGTGTCACAGGTACTGCATGAACATTGTTTTTGTTGTGTTGAAATACTTTTGATGGTTACTTTCATATGGACTCACCTCTTCACCCCTGTTGTGTTAGGGAAAAATTTACATTATATAAACTGAACAATGGAAAAATTGGGTATAGGACTGTAATTAAAGTTTAGCAGAATTTTAAAAAGCAAAAAATTGTTTGGCAAGGGTCACTGTGGTGTGGTGGAGCTGCTGGTGGACAATAATGCAGACATTCGGGCATGTGACGAGGACGGTGATACGGCACTGCACTTGGCTCTTCTCAAGAACTCGACCACCCCGCAGTCTCTCCCAACTCACGCTCCCACCATTACTCAGGTAAATATATAATGGTAACACAAATTTATTATTGATTGCCTGCATTTCTGTAGTCATCAAAGAATCTGCTGCCTTCAACCTTCAACCACAATCCAGCCTGTAGCTGGCAGGTTCCGATCAGCTCCGCTGTGTAGGCCACTCCACGACCGATACTAGGGTTGCGAGCCCTAGGCAGGAGCCTCGTGTGATTCCGCTGATCACTCTCACTCTCAGCACCGCAGTGGCTAGCCTCTTCCACCAGCCAGCCCCGGATAGGCGATTCCTAATACTGCCACGTCACAGGCAGGCTAACACTCTCAGCAGAGTTCGTCCGGGGGTGATTCACAGCTTCTGCAGAGCAAACTCGTGAAGAGACCTTGGCTGCCTTGGGTAGACTGATCCATCGTCCAATACAGCAGTCCCAGGTCGACTCTGTAATCAGGCACGTCATTAGTACTGGGGCTAGGGAACCTCACTTACAGGCTTAGACACAAACGTCCACCTATCCACTCCATAGATGGCGTTGCTGTCTAAGCACCACCTCACCAGAGGTCAGCAGCGGCTATGTTATGAGCTGATTAAGATGGGAATCCAGCACCTGTGGCCGGTATATCCCGTCCTCACTAGATGGCGTCGTCCATTTGGAGGGGGTTTCAGGAGCGGACTCACAGATGGGGTTGTCGTCACTGCTCCGTGCTACGACGCTGGACTCGGGTCCGTAACAGTCCTTTAGTTGTTGATGGTTGGTTTGGCCTGTGGGTGCTACTGATTCTGCTTCGGTGAACACTTTGGGGGTTGATCCTGCTTCCTTAACTCCCTGCTCCAAAGCTTGTGTTTCTTAGGTCATCTGCAGTATTACCAAGTTCAACCAGCCTGTGGTCTACCCTTGTGCCTATGATTGTAACTATTCTGCTCTTGCAGCAGTCTTTGCTACCATGTCCTGGGTTGATTTTCAGGCAAAGTATTTTTTGGTGGTCTAATGATCTTGGTGGCCCAGTACTTGGTTAATGTTCCCAGGAGCATCATGCCTGTGTTGTCTTGGGTCATCTCTCATGACTGTTTTTCTCTTCTTGATTACCTGTGGTTTCTCCTCCTCTCTGGTAAGTCCCTGTTTTTCATCATCATGAGTAGTTAGTTTTAGGAAGCCACTAGGGGTTACCCCCAGAAATCCAGCATTGAATGTAATGAAATGCCCCTTTCTGGATGAGCTCAAGTGGCTCCCTGATTCCCTCCCTTTCAGGTTTGTCGGTTAGTAGGTGTCATTTTCACATCTACTCCAGAGCTGGCTTGAAGGAATGGGGGAACCTGGGGCTCAGGGCCACTCCCCAACTGGTGGGGAAGTATGTACTCGCCTAGTCGTGCTTGCGAGGGTTGAGTTTTGGCTTTTTGGTCCTGCCTCTTGACTGTCAATCAACTGATTTAAAAAATAAAAGAGGTTTTTGTGTGTGTCGTAAAACCAAGAGGCAAGCAGGCATGTGATTATGTGCTAACGAGTTTGTGATAGTTTCGAGACATTTGATCGCTTGTTTACATTGTTTGGGGAGTTCATTTGGCAGTTTCAAGGTTTTGGTCTCTTTTGAACACAGCAGTGATCTGTTTTAGTTTGTTGACTTTCTGGATGCTTTCCCAGTGGGGTGGTGGACTGTTATCTTCTCTCTCTGCCTCTGTGAGGGGGAAGGGGGGGGGCAGATTCTGGCTCTGGTTCCCGGTAGGCTAAACAGAACTCAGCGGCTGATATAATCCTAGTATTTGGGAGCCATCTCTGCAAGATAGCTTCAGAGTAGCCAACGAGGCTCATCCAGAAAGAAGTATTTCATTACGTTCAATGTTGGATTTTTTATTTTTGACCTGCATAGAATGAACCACATTGTATTCAATCATACAGAACCCAGAATCTACTGTACATTGTGCTGTTTCTCTGTATATCTCTGAGATTCCTCACAGATGTTATTTAACATTTGCTTTCATTTTTGTATCCATATGTTTTTTAATTTTAGCTCAAAAGAAGTAGGGGGTTCTTCTAATTTTACGAATCCTTTTGACAAGATTCTAACAGACATCGCCAAACGTGGGTTTGAAAATAAAGTTTTGCTGGCTCTTGCTTGCTACCTTGCCAAGAAAGGCTGCAGTGTGACCGTTGCAAATATCCGCTCTAAGACGCCGCTGGATCTCATCAATGATACCAATACTATAGACCTTCTGCAAAGCTATACAACTCAGGCTAGGTTTGTATAATTAGTATTTTATTGCAAGTACTGTAATATATTGTAGTTGGTGATATGTAAATATGATAAATTGCTGGAAATAACATTTTACAAAGATTATAATTATTAAAACCAATGTATTTCACTACAGCGGAGGCAGCATGGCTCGTGTTGATATGGATCTCAAAGCATTAGACTTGGCTGCAGAGAGCATTCGACATAGAGAACTAGACAGTCCTTCCCCAGATAACACAAGTCTGTCAATGCAGTGCAAGCCACAGTCCCACTCCCAGCCTGTAAGTCCATCTAAGGATCCAGAGGACCTAGCCAAGTTAATATCAGCACCCCAGCCACTAAATGACTGTAATGTGGAAAAGGTGAGGATGATTTTTTTTATAATTAATACAATATTTATCTCGGCACATTTTGGTGTATTATTGTTGGAAGCCAGTTAAGTTAAAACAAAATTGTCTTATCACATAAGTGTAAAAGGTACCTTTGCTGTTATTTATAAAACATAAAGAAAGACTATTAAAGTGGAAAAACACCCCGAGGTGATTGGAACCATGTGGCCAATTACTGCAGGGCAATTTGAGCTGGGTGAGAGTTAAAGGAACAGTTGACTGGGATAGCTCAAGACTATGGCTCTGAGCGAGTATAAAAAACACCTTCCTGGAGCAGCTCATTTGGCTGCTTGCACTCGCTTTTTGTACCAGCCTAGTTGTGCTTGTGCAGGGTTGAGCTTCAGCTATTTTGATCCCGCCTCTCGACTGTCAATTAACTGGTGTACAGGTTCCTAACATTATTGAGCTCTTTCATTTGAAACATTTGAGCTCTACATTTGAAACTGTGTATGGAGTCAGCCTCCACCACATCACTGCCCAATGCATTCCATTTGTTAACTATTCTGACACTGAAAAAGTTCTTTCTAATATGCCTGTGGCTCATTTGGGTACTCCTACTTCTTGAAAGAGCATCGTCAGACATAGAACATTACTAGATGACAGAGCCAGAGTTCATGGCGGATTGTGTGAATCTGATTTGGCTTCAGTGGAAGCCTCAGGAATCCTAGAGGGTGCAGTAGTACCCCAGGTTGCAATCCTTGTACCATGTCGTGGCCTAGTTGTCTTGAGTGTGTGCCTGGGAACATCCAGTGCATAGGTTCGAACCCTCATCACGGCTCCAACAAATTTTCTCAATAATGATAATAATAATAATAATAATAATATTAATAATAATACTGTACTTTATACTGTATACTATTTGGATTTCAGGCTGAAGAAAGTACCGTTGATTGTTCGATCTGTTTAGAATGTCCCTCAAATATAATTTTCCAACCCTGCGGACATTGCGTCACCTGTGAAGACTGCTCCAGTAGAGTCAAAAAATGCTTCCAGTGTCACTCTGTTGTAGTCTCAAAACTAACAAAAGGTAAGTTTTATATATTTATATTTACTTCAACATTTATAACTGAACAAAGAAAGTAATACGCCAAATCTCGCAAATATCCAACTAAATGATGTATCTTCCCGTCACACTTGAGCTGTGGTATATAATTCAGACTCTTACATGGATTAATTTTTAAGTACTGTACGTGTGGTCCATGTACTGGTCCATGCACTGGTCCGTGCATTGATCCGTGTGCTGTACTGTGATAGAACAGGTTGGCCTTGTTAAGGAATCTCGGCCATGAGCATAATTTGTAACTCTTCAGTTGCTTTATTTCACAGTGTGTGACTAGGGGTGAATAATTTATTTTAGTTACTTAATATGATAATTGAATGTATTGGATTTATATGGTGGGATCTGCATAAGAAAACTTACATTTACATGGGATACATACACTCTTATTTTCAGAGTGCACCCGTGAATGAGTGTATGGGTGCGGGAGAAAAGTGAACTCATTACATAACTCTATTCCTCACTTTCATAGGGACATAACTCTATTCCTCATCACTTTCATAGGGAACTTGCAGGCATCCTTGTTCCCTGCCATATGCTGCACATTGTCTATGCTCACACCCTGCTTTCTTGTGCACTTAATCCTGTGTCTTCCCCCCCCCCCCCCCCCCTTCTTTCCGTACTTTAGTCTCCCATTGTCAAAGTCACCTTTAGTACGCTCTCTTTCCAGCCTACCATTATCTATTCGTTCAACATGGCCAAATCCTAATTAGTATGCTCTTCTTAATTTTGTGGTTTAATGATTTGTGTACTCCACATCTCTCCATGATAGTTACATTCCTGTGTATCAATCAATTCATATTTTTATTTATTTATTTATGACAAACAATAAATGAGGAATAGTTAAATATTTACAAACTATTGTATTATTGTATACTCAGTGACAAAATGAATAAGAAAACTCAAAAAAAAAAAAAATAATTTTATTTCCACACTGGAAAACTGTCAGTATTTAATGATTTGGTCCCAGTTAATCCAGTAAATAAAATTTAATTTCTTTTACAAGTTTCAATTATGTCTATTATTTTTTTTTTTTTTTGGCTGGTAATTGGGTCTAAAAATATACAAATTTCAGATGGAAGGACAATTTCAAGCAAGTCTAGACAACCTTCAGCTGAGAGATTGAGGTATTTGGAAACCAAGATTGCAGAGATAGAGGAAGCTCATTGCTGCAGTATCTGTATGGAACGTCGACGTAATGTTGCATTTTTGTGTGGTCACGGTGCTTGTGTTGTATGCGCTCATACTCTCAAAACGTGCCACATGTGTCGTAAACCAATATCCAAGAAAATTAATCTCTATTAATTTAGGTCGTATGGATTATTGAGATTATGCATTTTCATTATTTACACAGTGAAATGAAATGGGATATGATTGGAACTCGTCTCGTAAAAAAGTAATCGGTGGGTAGTGCAGTGCTTTTTGTAATGTGCACTTTGGACCAGGCCGTTATATACTGCCTTAGAACATAGCTGCTGTTTAATTCAAACTTTTATCTCATTTTTGTATAATATGAAATATGGGAAGGCATTACATATACCGGTGAGTATGAAGCATGGTGCCGTGGTGCTAAAATAACTTGTGAAAATGAGATGACATTATTCATGATAAAAAAAAAAAAGAGCACTAAACAGACACCATATCAGGTATCTTTTATGAGTAATATGTTTGTGTTATTAGTAACATATGTGCTTAAAATTTGGACAGTGATTTTTAGTGGAAAGATATGGAGAACATTGGTGATATTAAGAGTAGGTAACATAGAAACCATTTCTTGTCAGTACCTTGTAAGACCATAATGGGCAGTACCCTGTATGTAAATATTTACCTTGTCAAGAGAAGGGTGTTCATTTCCTGTGTTGAAACTGTGTTTTGTGTGAAGTATATCATTTTTGTCTTTATATTCATCCTTGGAAAAACAATGAGCGATCTGAAAAATATCCATGACACTTTTTAAAGTTTTACCATCTGTGGCAAAATATTTTAACAATAATTTTATGTGGTAATGATTTTAAAAACCTCAGGGCATTGGTAAGTAGAAATTCCTATACTTTCCTAAATATTTCTGTGCACTCTCTGACTAAGGCTTAGGCTACAGATGCTTTTAATTTTCATCACAATATTTAGGTTTGGTTCTGAGGAATTCAAGATTTATAATTTATTGGATGGATGAGTGCTGTGTATTTTTTTTTATTACTGAATATGATTGACTCAATATACAATTTTTTTTTAATTAAAATAAATATTAGCTGCACAATCTGCAAGTTATTTAGTGAAATTATGCGAGTCAGGGTGGATTAGATAAATAAGGCCTATACTGTATTTCTTGTAGTAGAATAAATATTATACAAATACTATTTCATGTGTGTGTTAAGATCAGCAAAATATGCTACACACTTAAAATTCTTATCATTTGTCAAAAATTTACTAATTTCGTTAAGTGAGAAATTAGTGTCTTAGAACTTGTTATAGTGAGAGCAAGCAGCCACTCATTGCTTAATCCCCATCATCTCACCAACACCTTATTTCTTTATCAAGAACGATGACGTTGAAATTTAGAAGTGTTGCACACCTGTTTATTCTGTACGTTCATGCTGTAGAGTGTGCAAAAATATTGCCACCATAACAAATGACTTTTGAGTTTGTCAATCATGCTCGAATGGGAGAAGAACTGGGAGTGGTAAGAACGTGTTTATAGCAGCAGGCGCAAGACCTTCCACTTCTCTATAGTAGTCATCCGTGCACACTTATTTTGCTGTATCCTTTTACTTTTTATATCAATGAAACCTAAGACACCAAAGAATAAAATTTTGCAACTCCCGTCATATGAAATTTACGGTTATGGGAATCTTTATAGTTTTTATTATATACATTTTTCAAATCAAAATCTAGAGCTTTATTTTAAAAATGTTAAATATAACTGTCATATTGCAGTAAGCAGAGTGGTATTTTTAAAAGGAAGTTAGCAAGTAAGCCTAAGCTCCCGTCGAAATGCAGATACTGTGCTGATAAATTTTAAAACGTTATTTTTATAATTCGTTCAGAGGCTTTTTAGAAACTGCACACAAAAACATAAAAAATTTAGGACCATTTCTCTTTGAGAATTTTAACAATATTCATACATAAAATAAGGAAAGTTTGAATGCCAATGTACTAAGTTGCTACTCAGTGCTATTCTGGTGCTGTTATTATAGCCAATAAACAGTATTGTTAATGTCTAGAAATGTAGATTTTTCTGTAATTCTATAAAGTGCAAATATATGTTCTAATTAAGACACAAGGAAGACTTCACAATAAAAACTGTACTACAACTAGTTTCAGATAAGCTCAGTAATTTGATTTTATTTAAATAAATATTAAAACTCGATATAGATAATGTTTTTACCTTAGAACTGTGTTTTAACTTGACAAAATAGCCATCAGCACTCCTTACAAATGATGGTAACTTGTTTGTAAGAAGCACTGGTGGACAAGTATTGAAAGGGAGAGGAGGACGAAGCAGCCCGGAATGTCACAAGGCCAGACTGGGAAAAGAGGCAGAGCCAGTTTCACATTGATGTGAAGAGGTCCATCTTGTGCTGACTGTATACTGTACCTCATAAGGAAAATGGAAGGAGGCATCATTAATGGTGTATCCCATGGAAAGGGGATGTGTGAGAAAACTTGGGACACATCCTCCATGGGAACCACTTGGAGCACTAAAATGCTGAGCTATATGGAGACCAGTCCCACAGAGGGAAAGAGCGAAGCCCTCCATCCTCGCTTCCCCAGCAGCACAGCAAAAGAAACACCAGGAACCATTGGAATGGGACTAGAGAACAGAGCCTGGAGGAATAGGAACTTCTTGAAGGGCCCCACCACAAAGAAGCAAATTGCATCCATTGCAGTGGATAAGAAAGTATGAACCCGACCACCACAGGGCACAAAATCCCAACCTAGATTTGAGACATTCTGGGAACAAACTGCATACAGTTTATCCAGTAGTCAGTTTGAACCCTCCTAGTTACAGTTGATCACCAATAGGTGACAACAGCACCAGGAACTGCTGGCTTCCCATGTCGACATTCCTCAGTCTAGAATCCAGGACAACAAACAGATGCTCCTTGTAGGCTGGGAGAGACCAGGGAACTGACTGCTGAGTGGATTGTTTGCAGTCATTTGCTGCTGCATTTCTTTTCTGTGAATCTTGCAAGTTGTCTATTTTCTTTGCTTCCTTTTTGGATGTCTCCTTGGTGAGGTTGACTGTATGATCCTCTACTCCCATGCCTCTGTGAGTGGCCCAGGTTCTGGCTCTGGTCTCTAGTAGGCTATTATGGACTTCTCAAGCTGATGTGACTCACATGTGGAGCCATCTCAGTATGGCTAGTTACAGGGAGTCACTGAGGCCTAACCAGAAAGAGGCATTCCATTACAGTTAAAACTGGTTTAGCACCTAGGGCTCATTCTTCAATCTAATCTCTGCCATCTCTCTTACCAGGTAAGTCTCTTATTTTTCTGTTTCACTACGGGTGCTTAGCATCTGGGAGCCACCAAGGGTCTTCTCCGATAAAACCAGCTTTGGATGTAATGAAATGTCTGTTTCTAGTAGAGCCCTGGTGGCTCCCTCCTTACCAGGTTCATCATCTCGTGGTGTTTCAGCTCTGTGTTGGCCTTGGAGTCAGCTATTGTCCGGGGCTCCAGGCAACCTAGTGGCGGTTATCAATACTAATTGCTAATAGTAATTTACTTGTTTTGTTTACATAATTTGTGGAGTCGTAAGGCCATTTCAGTGCTTCAGATTTTATGATTGGATGTAATCATAAACTTGAAGTTGTCTGTAAAGTTTCACTACTTTCTGGATGCCTTCCCAAGTATGGTTGATACTGCATGCTGTCTGTGCCTCTTGTGAGGGGGAAGCCAGGTTATGGCTCTGGCCTGTTATGCCAAAAGGATTTCTATGACTGATGTGACCCTGTAGTGGGAAACTATCTTAATGAGATAGCTGCAGGGAGCCACTGGGGCTCGACCAGAAAAAGCCATTTCATTACATTTAACACAAGGTTTGTGTTTCCTAATATTAAATTGCATACATGAACTATAAGAAGGAAGTAGGGTTGCATACATGCCTGCTCCTTACACTGCCTGGTTTTACAGGTGAATTCCTGGATGGTGTGTTTGGATCTCTGGGATACATACTGACATGCCTCAGTTCATCCAAGGTTCAGGGACTGGTTAGGGTTTGTGGTGAGGCATTGTGCTTACAGCTTTTCCAGTCTTCCTTTTGGCTTGAATCTGGCTCTTCAGATCTTTACCAAGGGTTAGAGCAGGATACAACTTTTGGAAGATCGTATCTTTGCCTACATCTATGACTGGCTGATTTAGGTTCCCAGCCAGTCTGCATGTCTACAAGCCAGGGATCTAGTTCTTTCCTAGCATGAGATTTAGGTTCCTGGTTGTAGAGGGAACTGATTACCCCATCAGTTGGTTGAGTGGTTGTATGGGAGCCTGAACTTTGCCTGCATGATATTTTCCCTGGGTAGGGTGTGACTCCAAGCATTGATCTGGTTTCTTTGGTTTTGCCCAATTTGCCACTGCCAAGACCATCGGGTGAGAGGTGTTTGCTCTTCACGAGCTTTTGATTCACCGGTTTCCTTCTGTCGCTCAATGTGTATGTAGACTCCTCAGCCTTGGGCTGGGGTTTTGTGACCAGTGCTTACCAGGCCTCTCGTGTCATTGGACAGGTTTCCTCCTTCAGGTGCACATGTTCACAAGTTTGCATTGATGTGGCAGACCTTTCAGCAGGGTCTGTCTCCCTTTGGGCTCCATTCTGGCTGCACTATCTGAAGTGCAATGATTTGTTTTGGTCCTTTCATCTTTGGAGCTGGATTCTGTGCATAGCTCATTATCTGGATTCTCTGGCTTTGGTTCTCTGTGTGATTCACATGTAGGTGTGTCCAACATTGTTGTGGATGGTCTTTCCCATTTTCATGGAGTGGATTGTCAAGAATGCAATATTAAACTGGGTTTGTGAGGCATTCAATTACCCTGAGGTGGACCTCTTTGCATTGGTTTGGAACCAGCAGCTTTCATTTTAGGTGGTCCCCATTCTCTGATTGCGAGGCTTGCACAGTAGATGCCTTACAGCAGGACTGGTCAAAGTGGGGTTCTTCTACTCTTATCGTCTGATTCATCTGTTGCATTAGGTTTGGTCCAGACTAGAAACTTACACAGTGATTCTTCTGACTCCTTGATGGCTGGCTGAATCTTAGTTTCCTGCCTTCTGGCTCTTTGTCAGAACCCAGGCATCTTTCTGCTATTGCTTCTCTTTCAGCACACCGGTCCAGAGATGTTCCTCGCTAGTTTGAGGTTCTCTTCCGATCTTATTGTGTGGAGTTTGTGATGCTGGTTTTTTGCCTTTGTGTTGTGCCCAGGTGACTGAGCTCTGTCTCCCATCTGCATCTTTCACTGCAGTGGTAGTACTGTATGAGGTGTCTTTGGGGCTCTTTCTCTTGATGTCTATCATTAGTCGTCTGTTTCGGTGGCCCTATCCCCTTTTTTTTTTTTTGTCCTGGTTATTTGTTGGCTTTTGGAATTGGTACTTCTTTGGTGCCCTATTGTTATTTGTCTTGAGTTCTTTCCACCTCCGGCCTGCTCATTCTTCTCTTGGGCCACCTTGTTTCTCTACAAGATACTGGTTTTTTAGACGTCTACTCGGTTCTCATTTGCCATTTCAGTCCTTGGTACATTTTACAAGGCTGTTTTTGTTGACCATTTAGTTGTAGGGTTGGGAAGTTTCATACTCTTATTTGGAAGTGCGGATTTTGCTTTTTGGCTCTGGTGGGTGGTTTCTTCATTTGCTACCTTCTCTTTCATTTCTGATGAAGAATGAGACGATTGTTGTGTCTGGTGGCAGCTGTTTCATGCTACCTGCATGCAATTTGAGTTTCTTCAGGGGATGCTTTGTTGATCCTGTCTCTTTTGTTCACTGTTCCAAGGCTTGTTTGTCTCAGGTCATCTACAGTGTCAAGTCTAGCCAGCCTGAGGTATCTCCTCAGGCTATTTGAAAGTTTGCAGCTTTATCTACTCTTTGTTGTAATGTGTCTTGAACAGACATGAGCTCAGGGGTTTTTGGAGGCCTAATATGGTTCTAGCAGCATGTTAACCGGTCAGTGTTCTTGGTTGTCATAGGATGGGTTTCCAGTTCTGTCTTTTTCCTTGGGGGAATGATCTCTACTTTCCACCGTCCCATTCCTAATCCTTATCCTGACCCTTTCCAAGTACTATATAGTCGTAATGGCGTGGTGCTTTCCCCTGATAGTTCCCTTCCCTTCCTCCCTCCCTCCCAGTGAGCCCCTTTCTTCTATTCTCTGTGGCTAGCAACAGGGAGCCACTGTTTGGCCTTTCCAGAAAACCGGCACTGACTTTCACGAAAAGCCTGTTTTGGGTTGGGAGGCTCCCAGGAACCTCACCACCAGGTATGTCAGATGGCCTTTTCTTAAACTTGAGACTGATGGTAGTTACCATGGTGCACTGGGAGCCCTCATGGTGCTCTCGCTTGGTGGCAGCCAGTGGTAACTAGAGGGACCATGACCTAACTACTGTGTAGATCATTTGTGAATCATTTGCAGCTTTGTTGCTTACCTTCAGTAAACTTTGCATATGTCTATTTTTCTGGGCATTTCTTTGGTGAGGGTGATTTAGAATCTTTTCTTGCACTTCTGTGAGTGGGGGCCAGGTTTTGGCTTCTGGTCTCCTTTAAGCTTTTATTAACCCCCCCCCCCTTTCTATCCCTAGAAAGAGGCATTTCATGATTTAATACAGGCCATTTTTTTTAATTTTTTTAACAATTTGGTATTTATTAAATGTAATGGAAAATGTCAGAGGCACAATGATTATAGAAAATGAACCCTACCCCACTTCTATATGCATAAAATGGCTTAAAAACCTAATTTTAATACTTTGCCATTTGTGTATTTCTTTTGTCTTATCTAATTTTGAGTGGCAGCATTCAATGCTTTCTTTGAAGCTACATAAGATACAGCTCTCATTCATAGGTTTTATTCCTTAATATTTTTCAACCATGGCATTTGATTTTTATATTTTCCCCTTCTGCTGCATGTTCATTTGGTCTTAATGTTTGTCACTTTTCTTTGCTAGCCTTGTTCTAAGGAATAATAATACACACATATACAGTACATCTATATTTAAATGTCATATATATAAATTTATAAATCAAACATTTGGGCAACTTTGGTTTGCTGCAGCAGCTCTACAGATTACTATACATATTAATTATATAATCTGATTAATTAATAGTAAATAACTGCTTAGATAAATTATGCAATAGAGTATATACAGTATTCTGTATTACTATTAAACAGTGTACAATAAGTGTGAGGACCTAGAATGTTAGGCTCTCTCTCGCTGCACAAAGTAAGCATCAAGGGGGTCCCATAGAACCCATTATAAACTAGATACATTTCAGTTGTGTGTGATTGAGGAAGGAATTCTGCGTCTTCTATGCCAGCATATATCACAATACCGTACTGGGAAATAATATTCACTCACACTCACTCAAGCAAGCAAGCAATTCAAAGCCCATTAAATAACACTAAAGATTCTGTCAATTACTGTACATAAAGCTTTGTGTAATTAATACTGATGCTTATCAATAATCATTAATTTATATAATTAAAGATCCATGCCTACTTAAAGCCAACCATTACCCATATATATATATATATAATGATTATAAGCATTATATATAGTGATTATCTCTAATGAATATAAATAGCTAAAAACCACTATCAAAGATGACTACAGTACTGTCGAACGTCGGTACTCAAACTTAATTGGTTCCAGAAGGCCATTCGAGCACTGTCGACTATGGGCACAAATATATTATTCGAGTGCCGAATTGTTTGAGTCGAGAGCCGTTTGAGTACCGAGGTTCTTCTGTATATCACTTTAATAAAATATAGTATAATGTTTATCTATGAGTATTGATAACTGTAATCATTTATGATTGAATATTTTATCATTATAATGATTATATGTGGTTTTAATAATCAGTAACTGTAAAATTAGTAGTCCACTTTTACTTATCAGATCTGCCAAATGATGAAAAGTATATATAAATGTTTTATTGGGGAAAGGAGCCCTCAGTGGCTCCATAAAATTGTTTTTGCTGCAATTGCTTTATGCAAATGGTCAAATCAGACCTGGAAGTTCAGTTTGGTCTACCAGAGACAAAATGTGGTTCCCTCACATGGGTGCAGAGAGTGAGAGTAACAATTTGCCAACACACCAGAAAAGCATCCAGAAAATCAGAAGTTTTATAGACAACTGGAGGGATGGTTATCTTGTGGTTATCTTGAGATGATTTCGGGGCTTAGCGTCCCAGTTCTCGACCAGGGCCGTGGGGACTTTTGTTACGGCCACTTTTTGTTACACACCCCCAGGAAGCAGCCCATAGCAGCTGTCTTAACTCCCCTCACCATGATACCAAGTCTTGTTTAGGGCTATTCACAAGTCTTTGACTCTGCCCCAGTCTAGGGCCCAAACATTCTGTTGGTTATGCTAGAGCTCGTGTGTGTTTGTTTATATGACATGCCGCAGGCACCAGTCATAGCCTGGTTGTCTTGACTGTTCTTGGTGTCAGTTTTCTGGCAAGCAGCCTCGATGCCTGGACATCCTGATATCCTGGCATTGAGGCTGCTTGCCAGAAGACTGATGCCTTGGTAATTCCCTCGCAGGTCTGTGGCATGGTTGGATCAGCCCGCAGAGCTTGCACTTATGATGTGCAAGTTTGAATGATGTTCACTGTCTTTGCTATCAGACGACGATTATTATTTCTGCCTCTGTCATGCTGCCCGGGGTCAGTGACTCTTTCAACCCTTTGTCTTGTGTGGTTTATTCCTGGCGGGTTTCTGCACTGACTAATTCAGCCTCTAATGAAGAAGCTTTTCAGGCAAATGCTGCTTTAAGAATTAGGTTTATCGTTTGTGATATTGCAATCAGTTGGATGCCCTGCAGTCGGATTCTATGGTGTTTAGGGACCTGGAATTAGAGGCGTGTGTGTCATCTCCACCCTCCACCTGAACTATGTCTGTGCCTCCTCTTCCTTTCCCTGTGAGTGCAGTGATAGTTTCATGAGCTGCCACTTGCCTTGCCTGTGCTTTCTGAGGCTCTTATCGTGGAAGACTATAAGGCACATTTGCACTTACCAATGATCATCTAGGTTTGGGTCCTTGTGGAGCTCTCTGGGCAATCCCAAGATGCTCACACTCCTTTGGAAAGTGATGGAGATATTTCATTCTGCTTGCCTCGTGTGCCAATGGGCCATGTTGGTCTTGTCAATAGATTCAGCATAGAGGAGAGGCATGAAAGTAGAGGTGGGTGAAAAGGACAGGGACAAAGGTAAGGTAATTATCGGGAGAAAGCACTCGGCCATTATGACTATATAGCACTTGGATGGGATACGAGGGCAGGATGTTAGGACAGGATGGGGTGAAGGAATGGCATCCAACCACTTGAATGACTGGGTTATAGTTCATTAATAATAGTTCAATCCATCTGACACTTTGTAAAAGAGAATTTTGGTATGTTTCTGCACTTCTGTTTCCTTACCTTGAATCTATGGCATCTTGTTTATGAAAGTTTCAGATTTTAAAAATTCCTGTCCGTTTTGTCAATTCGTTATTATTTTGTACATAGTGATCATATCTGCCCCCTTCTTCCAGTCTTGATAGGTTTAATGTCTCCTCCTCTTCTCATAATTTGTATTCTTAAGTTCCAGAAGACATTTTGTAGCATGTCTTTGCACCCCGTGAGACAGTCGTGGCTACCTCACCTCCCGCCACACAGCAACTATCACATTATGGCAGTAGAGTCTAACAATTACTTGTCATAGAAATGTTCTGCCTAATGGATATATCCACTTTTACTTACCACCTTGGTTGCTACTGTAAGATATTTTGCTAATAAAATAGGAAATTACAGTGCAGATAATGTGATAACTTAAAAATACTAAAGGTTATTAATCAAATGTGTAAAAATTAACATTTAGACAAATGGTCCTCAATAACTCATGGTGCCATAATAGATTAAATTTTGGCCATTTTGAGTATATTTCATTATTATTGGATAATATAATTTTTAAAACATGTCTTGCTTAAAAGATTTTAAGCACTGTACAATAAGATTAATTGGATGCTAACACAGCAATGTCTAGGTTCAGTGGCAGCTGTGGTAAGCAACCCTCACTGAAGGCAATGTTTGTTTGTTCCGCTGAACACGTTCAGGAATTCATTAAATTGAGATCTCGCTGTATAGGCCTTATAGAAATACAAATCCATTCATTTGGAAAAGGTTATATTAAATTTATATAGATAAAACTTTGGTTAAAATTTATATTAAACAAAACTGTCTAAAACAATTATAATTTTTCTCTAGAATCTAAAATAAGTAAAAATAACTCCTTAACAGGCTCAATGAGAGATATATGCAGTAAATCACAATAATCATTCTTATAATTAGAAAATGAGAGATCAATTTGTGATTCATTCATATAACTGAGATTTCAGAATGGTTAAGTTTTCATAAAGTATCAGAGATAGAGAGATATTCACCCTTCAACCTGTCTTCAGATTAACTGGTCCAGATAATTCCTGAATCAGGACCTTGGAGGCAAATGCAAGGAGGATACCAAATGCTGCAGTGGTGATCGTTGAGTAAGACAGAGAGAAGCCATACACTGTCATCTCCAGTGGTGCATTCTGTAGCACATACAACATTTGCAGTCTCTCCTCCAGTGGGCATATAAACTAAAAAGGAATACAAAAATTAGTATAAATAAAATTTTCATTACCTCATTGATATAAATGAAGAAAAGAACATATTACAATATACACTTTTAGCCTTCTTCAAGGTGCCTGGAGGGGGTTCTGAGCGTTTTTGTTCTCTCCAAGCTCGGCCCGGGGCCAGGCTTGACTCGTGAGAGCTTGGCCCAACAGTTTGTTGCTTGGAGCAGCCCCACATATCCACTACAACCTAGGTAGTCCTGTACTGAGAACAAAATTTATAATTTCCTGGAAAAAGTCCACTTTTGTTCCAGAAATATTTTTTATACTTGCTGGGATACTGAATAGCAGTGAACCTTCGATGTTCGTGTGGTGTTCTTTGATTGTACCTATGGCACCTCTACTTTTTGCTGGTTCTATTTTTGCATTTCCTGCCATATCATTTGTCCCCACATACGTTATTTTATTGTGCAAATTTGTGTCTAGGCCTTCCAGTATTTTTCCATGTATGTATTATGTGATGTACTCTCTGGAAAAGGAGAAGAGTTATGTGATACTGAATGTAATGAAATACCCTATTCTTGTGGACCTCTCAGTGGCTAACTAGCTAGACGCACTGGACCTGCCAACCTTTGAGGAATCACACTAGGACTCTTGATACACTGAGGATACCAGGGGGCCTGGACCAAAATCTGGCTCCCTATAAGGAAATGGCAGCTTGGGATCGGAGATTGACCAAAACTAACATAATTAAATGCTTCTTTCTGGTGGAGTTCCAGTGGCTCCCTGATGCTATCTTGCTTCCTACTCCTTGGTCACATCAATGGAGACCTATTTGCTTAAAGGGAACTATAGCCAGAACTTGGCTCCCCCTCACATAAGTAGAGTGCAGAGGTCACTCATAATACCAGAAAGGCATCCAGAAAGGAAGTGAAGCAATATAGACAACTGTTCATAGAAAATGAAACCCCCTAAACAACTTCACAAAATATTCAATACAAATGGTTCACTTCAAACTAGCTTGAACTCCTTAGTGCAAGTGGCTGTTGCCCAGCCAGCTCCAGGCAAGTTCTGAGCCGATACACTGCAATGAACCTGTTGGGAAGGAAAGGGGAAAAGTCAGGGAGCCACTGGGGCTCTACCACAAAGAGGCATTTCATTACATTCAAAGCTGGTTTTCTGGAAGGAACCCCTTGATGGCTCCTTGAAGGTAACTAATCAAAAATAAAATGGATTACAAGAAACTTACCAGGGAGGAAGAGAACAACAACTACACGAGTCACCAGGCACACCCCAAGCCTAAAACTCTGCCACCTAAAAGTGGGCACAGTGAACACATAAATATTGTAGGCCTGAGGGTAGACTGCAGACGTGCTAGCTTTCTTGAGGTTATCTTGAGATGATTTCGGGGCTTAGTGTCCCCGCGGCCCGGTCCTCAACCAGGCCTCCTTTTTGTTACACATCCCAGGAAGCAGCCCGTAGCAGCTGTCTAACTCCTAGGTACCTATTTACTGCTAGGTAACAGGGGCATCAGGATGAAAGAAACATTTTGCCCATTTGTCACCGCCTCTACCAGAGATCGAACCTGGAACCTCAGGACTACGAATCCGAAGCACTGTCCACCCAGCTGTCAGGCGCCCTGTTTAATGACACTGCAGACAATCCGAGATACAGGAGCCTTAAAACAGGTGACCAAGGAAACTGGAACAACCAACAAGCATCCACAGAGGCAGAACGGGTGATCCACATGGATTATAAACAAAAAAAGGGTGAACCATGGAAAGATGGGAGGAAAAGCCAAGAAGCCCTCCGCTTTCCTGGAGGGATCAGTGCTGAGTCAGCTGACCCAATGCCATGCACGCCCAATACTAAACAGGAACAATAACCAGGTACTGAACTGCCAAAACCAGATTAGACTGTCAGAACCCATGAGCCAAAATATCCATCCAGGACATAATAAAACAGGTAGACAGTGCTACACTGTCTTGCAGGTATCACTGATCCACGTAGAAATGATAGGTTGTCAAAGCTTAATCACCCAGAAAGCAATTAACGGAAATGAGGGGGGCAGGGACACCACGATAACAAAGCATCCACTCTAGCCCTGTGGGTAGCATGATTAACCCAAGACCAAAACAACCATGCTTCAACACCCAAGGGATCCCCTTCCAGAAACGTAGTCTTACTCACAAAGGAACCGGTCCTCAGGAATAAAACTGCTTCCAGAGAAGAGCGCAAAGTTCACCAACTCGCCAAACGGAAGTGAGGATCAATAAAAAACGACCTGTATCAAATTTGACACAAAAATAAGACTACAAAAAAGAAAAAACCTGTCTTGGCTAGCTTGCACTTAGGGGGTTCGAGGTAGCTTTAAGTGAATTGTTTCCAGAATAATTTGGCTGTGTTGGTCCTTCATTTTCTTTGACCCTTACAGTTGTCTGTACTACTTCACTTTCTTTCTGGATGTTTTCTTAGAGAAAGTGATTGTAACAGTCCTCAGCTCTGTGCCTCTGTTAAGGTGCCAAGTTCTGGATCTTCTCAGGTCCCTGGTAGAGAATACTGTACTCCTAAGGTTGATGCGACTCTTTGTGGGATGCTACCTCGGTGAGCTGGCTTCAGGAAGCCACCGAAGCTTTATCAAAAAGAGGCATTTCATTTTATTCAAGGCTGGTTATTTCATGTGCTCTATCTTTCTGGCAGGTTTTTCCCTTCAGTAATGTGATTGATCTATTATCCTCGTTTCTCTATGCCTCTATTGAAAGAGGGCCAGAATCAGGTCCTGGTCTCTGGTAGGTGCTTTAGATTCATTAGAGCCTGGTGTGGTACCTGGGTTTGGAGGACACCAGGTGGGTAGTTCTGGGAGAAACAGGGAAGCCCTCCTAGAAACCATAAATAGGAGTCCAAGTACCCACCTTCACATACCCTATTGGATTTCAAGGTCAATTAATTTAGCATAATTGTTGTAATACCCACCTTTAAAAGTCGAATGCCCTCCTGATTGACCTCGGCATATGCAGATGACAACAATGGAAGCAGGGACAAGGGCAGGAAGAAGTTGGCAAGATCAATGAGAGCAGGATTATAATTCAACCACAGTACAAGGTTCATTGCCAACCACATTACTACCAAACAGATCACTGACATCATCCATCTTTGTAGAGCTACAGATGATAGCCTTAGACGTGCCTGAAATAAAACCAGTTAATATACTGTATTTTATTTAGCCAAAGTACAAGATTTGTCATCTCCCATATAACAGGTTGCACCAACAAGTCTATCACTATCGCATTTCTGCTACAGTTATGATATACAGTACAGTATTGGGAGTTATGGAAGAAAGCTAGAAGGATATCAAGACATTCCTTAGATTAATTAAACCTTAAATCCTGTCTGTCTTATTCCTCAAGTCTCATTTATCAGCTGAAATCCTCTGTCCACAGACTCCCCAGTCTATTGCTTTCATATTGATTGACAGTTCAAGTACCGTCAATCATGCTCTATCCCTAGCTGCTTTTTATTACCTTACTCGAATTCATTATAAGACAGCCAGTTGTTGTCTATTTCTTCCTCTGTCCAAGCTGTGTTTGCTGGTACATTGTAGACACTGATGAATTCTATTTTATCTTTCTGGTTGTACATCTCTAGTGGCATTATGTTCACATTACATGGGTTGTCAAGGATAATATTTTAACATTTAAATTATCTTTCATTTACACATTTTCACTTTTTTCATTTTCTCTTTCACCGTTTGTTTTCTCTATCTCTTCTCTAGATAGAGTATCCTCTCGGGAATATCACCTTGTTAAAAAATTATTCTGTTTTCAGTCTCTTGCAGAGTGACAATAACAGGGATAAGCAGTTGTATTATATCTTTAAAATTCAATATCTTTACGAACCTGTTCCTTCTATTTTTCTCCTTTCTTCTCCTTTGGCTCTCTGATACCCTGTAGGAAATTCATTATCTTTAGGAACCTATTATTTCTATTTTTCTCCTTTCTTCTCCTCTGGTTCTGATACCCTGTAGGAAATTTAGTTTTTTTCCTCATTCCTGTTCACATTTACCCATTTTGTTTCACTGAGGGTTGCATGTCAGCTTATTCCTGTCTTCCTTTGAGAGGGCTCTCCTTAATGATCATAGTTTCTTATCCTCATTATTTTTATAATGGACATGATCACCCAAAGCCTGAAGGATATGGTTAGTAAGTGGACTTCCATATTTGTGGAGTTTTCCAGTAATAATTATCCTTTAAAAAAAAATTAAGCATTTCATCACTTATAATAGAGGAATAAAGGCCAATGTAGGGCCATTATTAATGCAGCAGCCCCATCTATATTACACTAACCATCCTACAGTACAATTTTAGACCATAAACTCATTTCTGAGCTATGAAGAATCAAACTCATCACATACTTGGATCTTCCAGTATCTAAAAAGAATTTCTGAGTTGCTCATTAGTGGTGGTGGTCTAACTCTTACATCAGAGACGGAAGCTTGGCTGCTCACTGATCCAGCCTGTAACAAAAACATAGAAGTCACTATACAGTATAACATAAAATAATCATCAAAATAAAGGTACGAGTTATGTTTGCCTGGAAAAATACTGTATACTGATTAACATACTAGCTCTAATTGTGTCACTAACTGTGGTATAAAAAGCCTCAGGTAAGGAATAATTTACGGAATCCAAGAACACTCCCGGCCAGAGTGCATGACACCAAAAAACACAGTAACCGTGGCCAGGTACCAGTCTCTCGCATTGCTTGGAGGCAAGACCAGTTAACCACTAGGTGAGGAACTGAATTTCTCAAGAGCATGCATCTCTGGTGAAGCAGGAAAAAGCCAGCCAGCTAGCAAAGATGATAACCCTGGTAACCCTTGAGTAAAATAGCATACTGTACCAGATGATTGAGTGACATGGGTAGCTGGCTGGGACACCGGGTGACCTGGGCTGCCATTTGGTGGTGGTCAGACCCATCAAGGATAAGGTTATTTGGTTGGTTTAACTTTTTTTTTGGCAGTTCTCTGATCTCCAAGTCTCCCCAGCCTTCCAGAGAGAGAAGTTCTGCTCCTAGTAGGTGAGCAGGAGTCTTGGAGGTCTGCTGCATTTCTTAAAAGCTTAGCCAAACAAGTCTGGGCATATGTGAACTTTATCAGGTAATGAGTTCAAGGGTGGGCATGTTGCTATTATTTGTTACTGTTATTAATGCCAGTACTATGTTACTAATGCCAAGCAAGAGCTCAGAAGGTTTAAGACCTTTAGTTTGACCACTAATTGTTATTTCTGGGTTGGATTGATTAATATCTCCAGTGACTCCTTCAATACATATATTACCTCACTGAGATGCTTGAAAATTCCACACAGCTCTATGCTTTATGTCATTCCTGTCTTACTGTATACATGATCTATGCCCCAAAACTCTCCCTTGAGGAAACCCCTGAAAATATAGGCTCAAAAAGATCATGTACAAAAGATGCAGCACTTATACCTTACTGGTACGAACGGTTTCTGTGGGCACTGGATTCGAACCCCGGAGAGAGTGAAGACTCGGTGAAGAAATTAAACTTTCTTGTAGAGAGGGAGATGGTGGTACCCTAGCTGATGGTAACTCACTCGATGTGGTTGGACGTTCACTCTGGTTACTAGTGTCTCGACTCCTCTGCAGAAAAAAAAACCATTAAAAACCCAGTGTTGAATCTAATGAAATGTCTCTTTCTGGAGAAACCCTGGTGGTTTCCCTGAAGAAATTTTCATGAGATTGTTACATACTATAAGGTCACATTAACAGGTAACAGGTCACATTTACAACAGTCTCCGTAGTGTAGTGGTAAGACACTCGCCTGGCGTTCCGCGAGCGCTATGTCATGGGTTCGTATCCTGGCCGGGGAGGATTTACTGGGCGCAATTCCTTAACTGTAGCCTCTGTTTAACGCAACAGTAAAATGTGTACTTGGATGAAAAAACGATTCTTCGCAGCAGGGAATCGTATTCCAGGGACCATAGGATTAAGGACTTGCCCGAAACGCTACGCGTACTAGTGGCTGTACAAGAATGTAACAACTCTTGTATATATCTCAAAAAAAAAAAAAAAAAAAAAAAAAAATTAGTTACAGAAGTTTTTTTTGGCCTACCAGGAACCAGATCCAGACTCAAGCCCCCGTCACCCGAGCTACCCAGTTTCTAGCTCCACAGGGCAACAGACTGAAGAACCCCCCCCCCCCTTTCCCTTCCATTCTGGCAAGGAGCCCCCAGGGAACAAAGTGAAGGTAGAACACAGAGCCCAGAAGAAGCCGAATCCTCTTTAGGGCATGCAACACATCCACAAACTTGCACACTGTACAGTACTATGTGCCCAAAGGAACAGAATGAATCATCGCCCTTGGGCAACCTGATGAGCGCTGGTCACAATGTCCCAACCCAAAGGTGATGCATCTGTGAAGATATCAAGTGACAGTAAGGATGGTAACATGCAACTGAATCCCAAAAAGTCTGAGGGGAAAGCTGGTGAAGCAAGAGCCAATAAAGGGCAGGTGGGAGTTTGTACCAAAAATGCACAAATACCTAGGAACTTTTCCACAAAATGACTACCACAGCACTAAACCCCCCTCAGAGATAGAATTATCCCTAAATTCTAAAAAAACAAAATTCACATTCAATTTCACAGTGATGTAAGGTACAGTATGTGTTTCTGCAGACTGGTAACCGAGCCTAACCCTAGCAGTAGTAACACTTGGAAGTCTGCCGACCTTACTGGATGACCCACAGGTATGCGGCTTTTCCTGAATAATAGTATGACGATAGATGGGATAACTAACGTGAATTTCATTGTCTCGAGTCTACAAAATTTTCCTGCAGTTCTCGGTATATTACTAGCCTTAGGCTACTCAAAGGAGAAGAGACTCTTGCCCAAAGTTAAATAAAAGTTAGAGAACGTGCAGTGTGGTTGGCATGAAACAATTGTGAAGAAAAATAAAAAACAAAGCAATGGCCTTGCACAGAACAATCATTCCAGAGAAAACGTAGTCACTTAACTGGTTAAGAAAGTAGCAGTAGGTCCCCAAAGAAGCCTCTGAGCCATGCATTACCAGGCGAGTGAGGGAGGTGGGTGGCTGGCCCGAGACTTTTACCCAGTCTCGGCCAGCCACCACCACCAGATGGTGCCCTAGGCTACCATCTAGTGGTCACCAGGCACAGTAGATGCGAGGAGAGAGAGTTCATGCATGGCAAACTATCATTTACCTTATCCTCAATTGTCATTTCTTTCTTTTAAGCAGTAGCTTGTTTTCTTTTGCCTAACCTATCTAGTTGGTTTCTTTGGGTCTCTGATTTCTAAACTCCCCTCATTTCATAGAGCCACATTCTGATTGTGGCTTTTGGTAGGTCAACTTAGATCTCAAGAGGTCTGGTGCTATTCTTAGGTTGTAAATAAGGACTAGGAAGTTACAGAGGGTCCTTCCCAAAATTAATTACAAACAAATTGTAAAGATATTGAACAGATTTTTCTGCGACTGCATATAATTACTCTCACCTGCTGAGGAATAAGAACAGCAGAATTGGAATCCATGTCGCTGCCTCCTGGATCACGCAGCTCATCCATGTAATCTTCATCGACCCAGCTATATTCTAGTGGTGGAGAAAAACAGGAAATCTAAATATTTGTTAACTAAACCACACACTAGAAAGTGAAGGGATGACGACGTTTCGGTCAGTCAGGGACCATTCTCAAGTCAATTGTGAATCCATGTCCGGATTCAAGTGACAAACGACTTGAGAATGGTCCAGGACGAACCGAAATGTCGTCGTCCCTTCACTTTCTAGTGTGTGGTTTAGTCAACATATTTCGGCCACGTTATTGTGACTCCTCGTCTGCATCTAAATATTTACTCTACACAAGCATGAAAAATGTAAACATTACTTTATAACATTTCAGAGGTAAATGCTGTCAAAGTCAATGCAATAATTGTTTACTACCAATAGTACAGCAGAGGTAACAAAAATAAAAAATATCTGCCAATTAATTTTGTTTCTGTGATCATATCAATTATCCTTTCATTGTTATTTTTCCAGTTTTCTTTATTTGGTATACACACATATACAACTGAGATACTGGTTACTTGGTTTGTCTATTTGGCATTCACAGTGGCATCAACAATTGTATACCAATTTGAAACAATAGGTGGCTATGGATGCTTACAAGAGAAAATTACAATTCTGGGGTGAAATCTGTTGTAGGTTGCAACAAATCCAGCAGTGAACATTAAACATATCCTCCTGGTCGGTTCCCTCGGCAGCTCCCCGAGCTATCTGCGTAGTTAGCTCCAAGCTTAGCAGGCTTTTGTGAGTAATAAGTGCCTACTGGAGACTAGAAGCATAATCTGCTCCACTCAATAGAGGCAAAGGGAGTCTCGGGATACTACATTAACCCATGCAAAGAGGAAAATTTTGCAGAAAGGTAGAATATTACAAAACAAGTACTAGAACTGCACAGAGAAACACTGGCAAACTTGTTAACCATGTACACAGTTATTAGTCAGTTACACTCTTGGGTTACACTCTTGGGAGTGTACGAGAACATACTCTCACAATCTGAGGCGAGAATAAACAAAGAAACAGAGGGGGGTATGATAACTACAAGATTTTGAGGGAAAATAGAAAGTGTACAAAGGAAGCCTATTTAAAAAAAAAAAATGGTAAGACAAGGAAACATCGGTGGATGCTGGACATGCAATCGACTAATAGATCTAAAAAAGTTCTCATTCCCTGTATGGGTGGTTAGCAAGTGACATTCAAGGAAGAGGTTCTTGAAGCTAATTCCATCCACAACTTAAAAAAAATTATAATCAAAATGTTAATGTTGAGAGAAGTAATTAGCCCATTAGGTATAAACAGCTATGTGACTGCTGCCTGAGGGTGAAAAGACTCCTGTACCCAATAAGTGGAATGATGATGACAGAGTAACCATTGCAGACCAAGAGCACTACTTTGCACTCTGGAACACCTCACGCAACAGTGTCAGGTCCAGACCCAGGTAAAGCATGCCCAACCTCCTAGAACGGGTCCTGTCAAGGAAAGAGCAAGTATAGATAATGCATTTCAGTGAAGCAAACGCCAATCTCCAACTTTAATTGCCATTCACCCAGAGAAGGCTTAAGCTGCCAGGGACAATAACAATCGCGTATGCGACTCAAACATCCTCTGTTAGTGTTAGATGGCCTTAAGTGACAGCCAGATGCAAAAGTCCCACTGGCAAACATCTAGAGACTAGCATTCCCCATGCTTGAATGGGGCATTCCCCATTTCCCAGGCTTGGTTGCAGCTTCAGGGAGTGACAGAGAGCCTTCCATAAAAGGCAATTATTTGGAAATCCAGATTTTTCTGAAATATGGCAAAGGGTTGAAACGGTATGATCCAGACTTTGAAGGTTGCGGTGTATATATATTTTCTGACAAATCAAGCAATGAAAATGTGTTGAACAGTTCCTGGGCTGAAGAATATGATTTTTTATACTGTATTAAAGAAACTAAACTCATGAAAATTACCTTCCAGCACAGGTCTGTCCACATTTCCATGTGTCAAGCCCATATATCTAGATTCATAAACACGAGCATCCTGTTCCAGCGCTTGCATAAACCTCCGAATTCCTGTAAAAAATAAATAAAAAACTGTTGAATACTGTACGTATAATGAAATGCCTCTTTCTGGTTGGGTTTCGGTGGCTTCCTGAAGTTAGTTTGCCAGAGGTAGCTCCACACACGAGTCACATCAGCCATAGGAATCCTTAATGGCCTACTGGGAAACAGAGCCAAAACCTGGTCCTTCTTCACACAGGTTCAAAGAGCAGGGGGATTGTGTTGTTTCTCTTTGCCTTGCAAGCAGTCTTTCGGCATTTAGTTTCTCTTTTTTTTTTGGTCACTCCTTGCTTCCTCCCATTTTTCTTGTTTCAGGACCTGATTTGTTTTCACCAGGGTATTCTCACAAGGGAGCCCTTCCAGAAAAACAAATTATGTAATGGCCCAACACAGAATAATCTTACCAAAGAAAAACAAACCCCACTTAGCAGGCAAAATAAACAGTAGTAGGTGCCAGCAGAGGTCTTTGAGCAGTGCAACACCAGGCGAGTTAGTGAGGCAGGTGGTGGGGTCAAGACTGCAGATGGGTTTGGTCACCATCTGATGGTGGCCAGGCACAGGGGTTAAAGCAAACATCTTACAGCTGATTGGAACCATATTCAATTCTTGGGTAGGGGCAAGGTATTTGGGCAAGTTCTATTACACTTCAGTCCTCTGTCCATGTAGCAGTAAATAGGTACCTGAGAATTAGGAAACTGGTGTGGGTTGTATCCTGGGGAAGGTCAGTCATTGGCCTAGAGGTAAGCCTAACAGGCTTTCTGTTCCCAACAATGGTAAACCATTAGGGTTAGGGTTGTATACCAGTTTCAATTACCTGTTGCTATGTTTTCCTCATTGTTAATATAATTTTTTTCCAAATAGTAACATGTTTTGTTTCACCTAACTTTTCGGTTTGGTTTCTTCAGTTTTGAGTAAATCTCTGATTTCCCAAGCAACCCTCACATACAGAGCCACATTTTAGTCCTGGCTCCTGGTAGTCACTGCAGGTCTTAAAGAGGCCTGGCATGATCTGTAAGCATAGCAGTACCTGTACGTAAGCATCGGGAAGTAATTGAGAGATTCTTCAAAGAAAAGCTAAATAATCCTACTAATTAAATGCATGCCAAATTCACCGATGATTTTTGGAGAACTAGTTTGTATTTACTTATTAATTTACTGTATGCATTATTTTTTGGATAACTTTATTATGGTACAAGCAAATTCCTTGAAAAGCTAACATAAAATAAACTAAGGAAGCATTATATCAGATACTGATAGATAAATATAAGCAAAACAGAATACAGTACCTATAACATGAGTGCGACACGTGGAGACTACGACGAAAGCCACCAGGTAGTTCCATAAGACAGCAAACACTGATAATAATACTCGGAAGATATACCTCATTTTGCAGACCAACACCTCAAGGCCCACTGAAGACAATGAGAAAAACCAGCATTGAATATAATGAAATGCCAATTTCCGTTGGGCCTCGGTGGCTCCCTGTAACTAGCTGTACCAATACTGTAGCTCCACACGTCCATCAGTCCGGCCCCATCACATAGGTACAGGAAGCAGACATGAAGAAAGAAATATCATCACCGAAGAAATACCAAGAAAGTCAGACAAACAACTGTAAGAATCATAGAAAATAAAGAAATGAAGCAGCAAACAGTTCTGAATATGATCCATCCAGCAATAGATCCATCCTAGTTACAGCTGGCCACAACCAGGAGCAGCTGGCTCATGTCAACATTCCTCAGTTTGGAGCCGAAAATAACAAACCAACGCACCTGTTATCGGTCAGGGACCAGGGAGCCACCGAGGCCCAACTAGAAAGATTTTTTTTATTACAGTCAGAGCTTTTTTTTTTTTTTTGCAGAGGCCAAATGGCAGGTCTGTAATTAACCAGTGATAACTTACCACAGAGGAGGAGAATGAAGATCAAACCCCTAAAGAGATGAGACCAGGATGGGAAATTCTTCCCAGAGCAACAAGCCTGATAGTGACTAGGAACACTAACCAGGTAACGAGCCATTTTTTAGACCTCCCAAACCTCAGAGTCCCAATACTCAGCCTAAGACAAAAGAAATGACAGAGGACAGAGCCACAAACTTTCATGGGCCTGAGGACAGACAGCAGGGTGGGTAGAATTAATGACACCGAGGACAACCTGAGATAAATGAACCTTGGAATTGGGGAACGGGGAGAAAGGATCAACAAACAACACATCCACCAAATGAGTCCTGGTGGTACACGGGTGGTACGTGCTGGCTATTTCTGCAGATGACATGGCTTACAGAGATGCAGGATCATTGCATCATATCTAGATGGTAGTGCTAGAGAGAGCTATGCAAGTGCTGTTGCTGATACCATGAACATACCGAGATCATTAACACAAGGGGGAGAGTGGCCATTGTTGAGAAAAATATACAAGTCTGGATAAACATTTTGAGTCAGGGACACTGAACCAGAGTAGACAAAATTAAAACAAAGATAGCTCAGGGGACAGGATCATGAGTGGAGATAACAAGGGACACAAATGTCAGAAGTTTTGCCAAGTAAGAAATATAAGGTGGTTTTCTAGGGAGGTTAGTGATGATTGAGGATTTGCTTAAAGTTTACGAAAGAAAAATTTCTTAGTTTAGTACAAGAAAATGTTGGTCTCAAGAGCCAGGTCAACACTATCAGTATTATTTTGCAGCAGGATAAGGAAATTGTCAGCTTGACTAACCATTAACCTGGAGCTGACCTAACTCAAAAGGGGCTGGATCCATGAAGGAAGCAAGTCCCAAATTTGCAGGAGGAACCAAAATGACAGTCAATAAAGGCCCAAGGCAAAATGACAGAAACCTCTTGAAACATTTGAGGACACTAACAGTACACCGAGGCATACCTGGGAAGGAGCAGGCAAGGAATCAAGCTCGAATGTCAATAGAGGATAGACAATATCCTCACCTGAGCTCAAAAATGCCTCCTGCAGAGGGAACCAAAGACAAGGACAGGTTAAAGGCCAAACAAACCAAAATATCGAAGGTTCCAGAGTTGAGAGTAATGTGCACCCAACGGGAAGCGGAAGGTGGTACAAATGACTATCAGTTTGTAGCAAAACTGACGGACACCCTCAAACTAACAAGTAGAGAGTATGGGCTCAGCAGGTCACCGAAGGGGCACTGTATGCCGCCTGCTAAATAAACACAGCTGCAAATGGTATCAGTAGCATGCCATATGTACAAGCATGCTAACCCTAGTGCATCCCACAATCAATAAACCTCAAAACACCTACAGAACCTTGTAGAGGAATCAATGACACACTTGAGTGAGACACCTTACACAGTAGGCCAGCCTTTATGGGACAAATGCCTGAACCCACTAGGGAATTACTCCTCACAAGCCTCACTTGTTGTCCACACAACACGTGAGGTTTATAAATGTACACATATGAAGCTAACACAATCATGCAATAATATGCAAGCAAATGGGCCCCCACAGGACAGAGTCCAATGGATGGCCAACACATACCCAGAATTAGATTGGACCTGAAAGGCTTGGTAACTTGGGTCCTTCACCTGATGTCCACACAAGTGGTCATCAGGTGAAGAGCTAACTAGCATTGACATGGGAGCCTGCAGCTGCTGGGAACTGCCACCTGGCGACGGACAACTGTAACTAAGGAAGTTCAAACTACAGGTTGAACTATTTGCAGAGTTGTTTGCCGCTTTATTTCTCTTTTTTTTCTGAATTTTGCAGAACTTTAATTTATGAGGGTGATCATAAAGAATCTCCTGTACCTATGTGAGTGAGCAAGGCTTTGGTTCTGATCTACGGTAAGCTGTCAAGGACTCTTGGAGGTGATGAAATTTGAATGTGTGGAGCTATCTTTGTTTGGCTAGCTACAAGAGGCCCACCATTTGGCTCCTCCAAAAAATAATTTGTAATATTTTGCTTATGTGCACATGGGAGGCACCCTTGTTACCCCTCTCCAATAATAAACCCTTGCTACAGCCACTTAATGGTTAAGATATGTGCAACAAGAACTGTACCATAATTAAGATGGGTGAAATGAGCTGTATCATAATTAACACTTTAGTGTTCCAATGATGCTAAAATGTGCCAGTCGTACTTCGGCAGCAAGCATTCCGACAATGCTACGACACGTTTTAGCATTCTTGGAATGTTTACTGCAGAGGTACAGACATTCAAGCTAGATTGTCATCCAGATCGGAATTTCCAAAAATAATTTTTTTTAGGGGATGGGGCCCAGCAGAGTCAGAGCTTATCAGGGGATAAACCAAAGTACTATACTGTATTAGGGGACCACCTTGGCCAACTACACCATGTCGACCAGACCACACACTAGAAGGTGAAGGGACGACGACGTTTTGGTCCGTCCTGAACCATTCTCAAGTCGAGACAATTGACTTGAGAATGGTCCAGGACAGACCAAAACGTCGTCGTCCCTTCACCTTCTAGTGTGTGGTCTGGTCAACGTACTTCAGCCACGTTATTGACTCATCGTCTGCAACTACACCATCGCTCACAATGATAATTGCTCTGCTTGCACATATTTTCTCTTTGCTTTGCAAATTACTTGAAAGAAAAGTATGAATGTCGTATAAACATTTTTAGGCATCTTAGATGGGTAGTGAGAAGCCTGAAATATTTATGGTGGGACACACAGTGAGGGGGGGAAGCTGAAGTGTTAAGGGAGGGGTAACAAGAGCTGTGTCATGATTAAGAGAAGGATAACCAACATTGCATTATAACTAAAATTGGTGTAACAAGATCTCTATCATAATAAAAAAAACATTGAGAGGTAGCCAGTACAAGTGTAGGCCTTTAGTCTGTTGTTGACAAAACGTGTGATGCATGTTGCTCCACTGATCATCACACACCTGCACCCTGCCACTAACTAAATTGTGGATTTACTTGGCTACGATTTCCACATTGACGTGGACGATGGTTTATCGGACAGTGATGTGAATTTTCGTGCTAGAAATCACTGCTAATTCAAGCAAGAGTGAATGTGAGAAATGACATCATTGTGCTGGTGTTGCTGTGCTGCCAACAAAGCCCTTGTCTGTACCACAGCTACATGAAGATGATCAGGCATTTGTTGACTTTAGTGACCAGGATGGAAGGGAGGGGGGGGGGGGGGGGCGCTAATGACATTGGTGTTTGTCATGGTGCTGCAGCGAGAGTGAGGGAGGTAACACTCAAGGTGAGTAGTGATGCCTTCTATGCCTGCATGTGTTGCACTCTCTCACTCCCCTCCATCACCCAGGTGATGCTGTGTGTACTGTTCCATTGACATGTTTCTGGTACATGTGCTACATGTGTACATACACATGGTAATAGTGCACCCACTGAAGGATGTGCGGCATCACCTCTCATACAGACAAGAGCTAGTACCGCCATGCAAAATCATGGTGTTAGTGTGCGAGTGGGGGGACCCAACCATGTGACAATATGTGGGAAATTGGCCATGATTTTGAACCTACCATTGCCAGCAAGGCAATCTTGGAGGGATAGGAATACCATTGACAAAATTTAAAGATGTTCACCTTATAAATGTAACGCATATGAGAACTCGAGTATGAACAAGTGGTGAACTATAGTCATATACAGGCTCTCTAATTACTGACCTCTATGGCAGGTTTCGTCTTTGAAGTTTGGATATGCATTGAGATCATTACAGATGGCAAGAAGGAGCATGAGTGTAAATAATACAACTGAGGCATTCATCTTCAAAATTGTTTTGGAGTGAAGTCGTAACATGTCTAAGAATTTTCTGTGACTGAACAATCTGCAATCAGTAATAAAAAGAGAAGTATTTTTAGTAATAAAATATACACATAAATTATCCAAGTCAATAGTAACCCAAGTCCAATTAATGTAACCCCAAGTGAGCAGGTAATAAGAACAAACAAAAATGACAAGCAATTAATTTGTACAAAATTTAAGTTATTTTTTGACAAAAGTTGTAATCAATGCATTTCTACAATATTCCTAAATATATAGCATAGTGCTCCCCAAAAATACAAAAATAATAACCAAGATATTTTTTTAGACATCGACATACAGGTGAACCTCATCATCGACATACACGTGAACCTCATTTAATGAACAAGATATGTTCCCTTAAAAGTATTTGATAAACGAAAACCATTTTCTCACCGACTTCCACAGTAAAAGTAAACACACACATTCCAGCCCATCCTCCTGTTTTGGTAGCACTTACAATAACGATGAGAACGACGGTATTATACCGACACAATGAAATTAGAAAGTAGAAATCTGAACTATTGACTTGGACAAACCCGAAAACTACTATTTATTTGTATTGCTTTGACAAACTAAACTAACCTAACCTAACCTTCCTAGGTCTAATACATGATATCTGAAGACTAATACACAGTTGTACATGTGTGTGCGCTATACTAGACCTAAGAATATTTAAGTGTTTTTACTAGTCAGTATACTACTATCTAAAATCTAAGTACATACGAATTCGTGACTATTGGCGACTGTCACAATAGGTATTGTCTAAACAGGAGGATGGCTTGCACATTCCAGACCCAAAATTTTCTGCAGTTAACAGTTAGGCTGGACAGACAACCAGGCTATCTGGCTACTTAGGTTATCAGGCTAGACATACGGTCATGCTAATTAAGCAATTGAGCTAGACAGTCTACCATACTGGATAAACAGGCTAAGCAAACATGTCAAATCCTGTTTGACACCCTCCATTCTTCCACCTAACTCGTTCAAGTGTGTATCACCTACCATGTTGGTCGATGTAACATGAACCTAAATGGCTTGCTAAAACCACTGTAATTTCTTGTGAATAAATAAACAAATAAATGCAAATACAGCTATTCTTTGTACAAATAGCCCTTTCCACCCTATATCCCACCCCTCATTCCATCAAACCGCCTCTGTACCTAGGGGGTTAACTGTCAATTGGAACATAACCCAGTTCCAATCAAGTGTGGTTGTCCTAGTTACCGAGGACATAAGAGAGTTGCCACTATCAACAACATCGTCATACCCCGAGTAACTCCACTCACACATGCCAACACCTACTTCCACACAAATCAGTGCCATGTTATGGAATGCGGAATAAGAGATACAAGGCCACACACAACCTACAAATTATGTGAAAAGACTTTAAAGAATTTTGATAAAGAGATCTATGGATGATGACCAAACCACACATCAGAAGATGAAGAAACGATGATGTTTCAGTCCGTACCCGACCATTATCAAGCCGTGTGTGGGGTGGGGGATGGACCGAAATAATCCAGGACAGACATTTTGGTCCATCCTGTACCATTTCGGTCCCCATATAGAGTACACACACACACACACACACACACATAAGAAATAAATTCTTTTTTCTACAAAGTGATAGGGGTAGGCAAACCAGTAAAGTGGTACATAAAGGCAAACCAACAAAATCAATAGAGAGAGGGGGAGTGAAGAATAAGGAGAGGGGGAACAAGTTCCTGAAGATTGCATACACCAACATAGATGGAGTGAGATCGAAGATACTGGAGTTAAGTGATGTAATACAGCTGCAGACACCAGACATTGTTGCACTCACGGAGACAAAACTTGAAGATGTAATTTTAAATGAGGTCATATTCCCAAGGGGCTACTCAATTTGGAGACGGGACAGAAAAATTAGGAAAGGCGGTGGCGTTGCTGTGCTGGTAAAAGAACACCTAAAGGTGAAGGAAATAATGACTGCCAATCCACAAGAAGTTGACATAATAGCACTAGAGATCTGCTATGAGGATGATAAACTAATGATGATAAATGCATATAGTCCACCGCCAAGCAGCACATGGTCAAAGGAGGAGCTAGATAGTAAACGTGAAGGTCTTATAACAATAATGAGAGAGATTATAGCGAGAGCGGATAACGATAGATCACGACTGTTGATAGTCGGTGACTTCAACTTGAAATCCATAGACTGGGAAGCATATGAAGCTAAAACAGAAGATTTTTGGACCTGTAAATTTGTAGACCTCATCCTGGAAACATTCTTGTATCAACATGTTAAACAAGCTACGAGGATGAGGGAAGGGGACGTTCCCTCCATGCTAGATTTGATATTTACCAGGAAGGAGGAAGAGATATTTGACATTCAGTACCTTCCTCCCTTGGGTAAAAGTGACCATGTCTTTTTGGGAATAAAGTATGCAATGCGTTATAAGCTGGAAGAAAATAAGGAGGTTGAAGCAGTTGAAAAACCAGACTTCAGGAGAGGACATTATGGTGACCTTAGAAATTTTTTTAGTGAGTATAATTGGACAGACTTGATGCTAGGCAAGGAAGTGAATGAGATGTATGGCAAGTTTTGTGAAATATATGATAAAGGCACAAAAAAATTTATACCAAAACAGAGATGCAGAACTAGGAAACAGGATTGGTTCAATAGAAATTGCGAGAGGGCTAGAGACCGAAAGACACAAAAATGGAATCAATACAGGAAGAGGCCGAACCCCCAAACATACCAGCGATACAAAGATGCGAGAAACAACTACACGGCAGTGAGGAGAGAGGCAGAAAGAAATTTTGAAAAAGGGATTGCGGACAAATGTAAAACAGAACCAGGTCTATTCTATAAATTCATAAACAACAAATTGCAGGTAAAGGATAATATTCAGAGGTTGAAAATGGGAAATAGATTCACGGAAGATGAAAAGGAAATGTGTGAAACACTAAACGAAAAGTTCCAAAGTGTGTTTGTACAAAATGAAATCTTTAGGGAACCAGATACAATAAGAATTCCAGAGAACAACATAGAACACATAGAGGTGTCTAGAGACGAAGTGGAAAAAATGCTCAAGGAGCTCGGTAAGAACAAAGCAGCTGGCCCAGATGGCGTTTCACCATGGGTTCTGAGAGAATGTGCATCTGAGCTCAGCATTCCACTTCACCTGATCTTTCAGCCATCCCTGTGTACAGGAATCGTAGCAGACGGGTGGAAACAGGCTAACATAGTTCCAATCTACAAAAGTGGCAGCAGGGAAGACCCCCTCAATTATAGACCTGTATCATTGACAAGTGTAATAGTGAAAGTATTGGAAAAACTAATCAAAACTAAATGGGTAGAACACCTAGAGAGAAATGATATAATATCAGACAGACAGTATGGTTTTCGATCTGGAAGATCCTGTGTATCGAATTTACTCAGTTTCTATGATCGAGCCACAGAGATATTACAGGAAAGAGATGGTTGGGTTGACTGCATCTATCTGGACCTAAAAAAGGCTTTCGACAGAGTTCCACATAAGAGGTTGTTCTGGAAACTGGAAAATATTGGAGGGGTGACAGGTAAGCTTCTATCATGGATGAAAAATTTTCTGACTGATAGAAAAATGAGGGCAGTAATCAGAGGCAATGTATCAGAATGGAGAAATGTCACAAGTGGAGTACCACAGGGTTCAGTTCTTGCACCAGTGATGTTTATTGTGTACATAAATGATCTACCAGTTGGTATACAGAATTATATGAACATGTTTGCTGATGATGCTAAGATAATAGGAAGGATAAGAAATTTAGATGACTGTCATGCCCTTCAAAAAGACCTGGACAAAATAAGTATATGGAGCACCACTTGGCAAATGGAATTTAATGTTAATAAATGTCATGTTATGGAATGTGGAATAGGAGAACATAGACCCCACACAACCTATATATTATGTGAGAAATCTTTAAAGAATTCTGATAAAGAAAGAGATCTAGGAGTGGTTCTAGATAGAAAACTATCACCTGAGGACCACATAAAGAATATTGTGCAAGGAGCCTATGCTATGCTTTCTAACTTCAGAATTGCATTTAAATACATGGATGGCGATATACTAAAGAAATTGTTCATGACTTTTGTTAGGCCAAAGCTAGAATATGCAGCTGTTGTGTGGTGCCCATATCTTAAGAAGCACATCAACAAACTGGAAAAGGTGCAAAGACATGCTACTAAGTGGCTCCCAGAACTGAAGGGCAAGAGCTACGAGGAGAGGTTAGAAGCATTAAATATGCCAAAACTAGAAGACAGAAGAAAAAGAGGTGATATGATCACTACATACAAAATAGTAACAGGAATTGACAAAATCGACAGGGAAGACTTCCTGAGACCTGGAACTTCAAGAACAAGAGGTCATAGATTTAAACTAGCTAAACACAGATGCCGAAGAAATATAAGAAAATTCACCTTCGCAAATAGAGTGGTAGACGGTTGGAACAAGTTAAGTGAGAAGGTGGTGAAGGCCAAGACCGTCAGTAGTTTCAAAGCGTTATATGACAAAGAGTGCTGGGAAGATTATGAGGTATACTTTTCCATGTGATTAATAGTTCTAAAGAATTTGTTCAATAACTTAAAAATGTACTCACCTCGGTCATACAGCGGCTTGAAAATAAGTAAATTTTGTTCTTAGAAATGAGCAAAGGAAATCTGCTATTAAAAGTTAAATGAATTATATGATAGAAAATGTGTTGTGTCTCAATAAAACTTTTCAATACTGAATGAATATTTGTGGGAGGAAAACCCTGTCGGTAACTTCCCAAGTTATACACCGGCATACCAAACTGGGCTCTATCAGCTCACGAGTACCTACCAGAGACTAGTATCAGAATCTGGTCCACTCAATAGACGGAAAGAGATGTATGATCACCACAGTAACCAAGAGAAAGACCACAAGACAGTTAGAGGGTACTAAAACACCTAAGCTTTGTAAACACTCATCAACTGGGACAAACCACTGGTTCACATCACTTGCTTACCACTAGATGGCAGTCCCAAGGACCTGGGTTACCACCCCCATCAATCACACACACACGCCCAGATTAAGGCACGGACTTTAGAGGCTGCAGCCCAGGCTGCACCAGCAGAATATCTGAATTTTGCATATCATTCCCTAATGTTCAATTACTGAAGTTGAATGTTAATGATAACTAAGGCAACTGGAGAGAAGAGTTTCTCCAAGATGAAATATCTAAATGTTCACAGAGCGACAGTGGGCACGGAACTACTAAACAGACTTATTCTCACAGCAACGTCGTGTTGTCATTGCCTACGTCAACCGAGCTCTAACACAGCTCCAGTTGGAGCTATGTGTGATACATGCCTACAAGGAAAGATTACTACCAAAATATACTAATATATTGTTTAAATATATGGATTTCTCCCTCAGGTATCAATAGAAGGATTCATAATCTTAAAGAAGAGATTATGAGGCTTTTTAATGATCTTTTAGCTTGCTCCTTGTGGCTTTGAAAGTATTTTCTTCTACCACATACATTTTACAGAAAATATTTGTATGGTACTGTAATAGGTACAAGTGCACTGCACATTACATAATTCTTATACAAAATTAATACACCAACAATGTTTCCTGGGTATGGATTAAGTGCTGGTCTTGAGTGGATCTATTGAATGAAAGAAATGTTGGCCTATAAGCTACAGAGGAAAAAACATTTCTTACACAGCAGTGTTTCCATTGATGGCTCAGGTTATCGTATGTATGTCATTAATAAAACAAATTACTTACGGAAATAGATATTGCCATTATTATTCTACTTACTCAATCACAACTATCTCTACAAAAAACTTCAACAGTCCCACCCACCTGTAAGCCAAATTGTTTGCATATACAGCCAACGCTCCCCATAACAATGTAAAAAAAATTGTGATAGCTCCATCGACTACCGTCGTCTTCGTGTAATCACTCACGATATCGTAGGCAGTAAACCACCAGTCACTTAGGAAATAGCCTGTGCAAGATTAAATAGCAAATTTAGTAAATGACTCATAATTAATGTCTATGAAAAAGAGAATATTTCAGCTTAGCACAACTTTCTATAGGTGAAAAGCTCTGCAATGTTCCCCATTCAACAAACAAAAAATTCTGAATATTTCAAAATAAGTTTCATAATGTTATTTACATCTTAATAATCTTAATAATTTTGAATAACTGGTTATACAACAGTAGCCTTGAAAATTTAAATAAAAAACAAAAACCAGAAGGAACAGAATAATACGAGGATGTGTGTCTTAGCCCTCGGTAAAATAAATTCACCAAGTGCATTGCATTAATATTTGAAGAACCCTAGAAATTCTCTATGAACTAGTTTTGCCTACTGAAATACTGTACTGTATGTCTTTTCTTATCTCTATTTTTTTTTTAAGAGCAGCATTATTTATAGGTAAACAACACAACTAGCCTATCTACTGAATGTTCTCTGCTTCTGCATGCAACAATATGGAGTAAAGCCATCACATACATTTACATGGTATAGTTTAGTACCTGTTTTATGGGCAGTAGCATCCAACTTCATAGCTGTATCACAATTACAAGATTAGGCTGTTTTTTCTATTTATTTACCTACTCACATTATTTTTACCATTATCAAGCTCTCTGAATGCAACCTATCTCATACAAGATTAAGATACTATATTACAACATAAATACTCAGGCAACAAAATCAATTGCAAATGCTTTGCCTGCAATATAAGATGACTCACCTAATGCACTCATAAATGTGAGAGTGTACAGAATGGTAGCAATAACTGGCTTATCTTCAGCATGAAGTTTGATGCCCAGACTTTGGGCAATAATGAACCAGAGCCAGAAAGGGAGTCTTCGTGACTGCTGCATTTGCCTTCTGTTAACTGAGGAATCCTGTCCTTGGCTCTGCAGCTCTTCTCTTGCTGTTATCTGAAATGTAACTTGTTCATAAAAAATTCTCATATACACTTCTCATAAAATTCCCATTGTTCTCATATACACTGAAATTCAACTAGAAATAATTCAATTTACAAGATGTTTTCCAATAATACATCAGTCATGTAAATCTAGTGAATACTGTACTGTTGTAACACCGAGCTGAGCATAGATCTCTTTCTGTAACTACAACTTTTAGATAATAACAATTAGGCAATAACATACACATATAAAAGCACATACATACACTGTACAGTATGACACAATTATTCCACCCTAGCCTTCATGTGATTTAATTTGCATTTAAACCCCCATAAAAAAAAAATTAAAAATAAAAATTAAATGCATTTACACTACATACTTGCAAATTTGTATCTGGTGAACGATAGTAATCCAGGGAAGCAATCGATACAGTGCGTTGTCGAGACATTATTTCCTTGACACCCAATCTGTAAAATAATAATACAGTACTGTAGTAATACTGTATAATAATAATTCATTCTGTTGTGGTAACGGCATCCAGTGTTAGGCTTATAATATACATGTTAGGCTTACATTCAGGTCCCTCCCAAAGATAGAACTACTGACCATTCCCAGGATGCAACCCCATAACAAGCCGACTAACTCTTGGGTACCTACTTCCTGCTAGGTGAACAGACCCATTAGGTGATAGGAAATGTACCCAATCATTTCTGTCCCACTGGGGAATTAAAACCCGGAATTTCCGATTGCGAGTCGAGAATGAACCTAACTGTACTATCGGGACTTTCACAGTTTATCCATACAGTGCAAGAGCAGAAATGGATTTTAATAATAAAATGCTTCTAATTAATTTAATGAAAAACTGACATTGAATGTAATAAAATGCCTCTTTCTGATGGGTCTTTGGTGGATCCTACCTAGCACACTCTACCCAATTCAATACATGCCAAGCTCTTGCAAGACATTATAAGCCTACCAGAGACCAGAGGCATAAAACCTGGTCATTAAGATGAGATCTTTGAAAGTACAGTTTTTGGGACAGAGAAACTGAAACTAAACCCTGAAGTAAAATGTCTAAATGAAGGTGGGAATGATGAAGAAATTAATTATTTTCTCTATAGGGTGATAGGGATTGGGAAGCCTGTGAAATGGTATACAAAAACAAACCAACAAAATCGATAATGGAAAGGGGAGTGAACATATTCCTGAAAATTGTGTATACTGTACTAAGAAAAATGGGGCGAGGTAAAAAAATACTGGAGTTAAATGATATAATACAACTTCAGATGCTATATATTGTCACACCAGAAATGAATCTTGAAGATATAATTTCAAATGAGGCAGGATTTGACCGAGGCCTTCTTTCATTTAGGGGAGGAAGAGTAGGAGGGATCTGGTTTCTGATTCCGGACAAGAGAAGAGAGTGTTGGGAAGAGAGGGGCAGTGATTGCAATGTAGTTTGCAATGCCATCAACAATCTCAGAGGCAGAGGAAAAGACAAAAATGGAGATGGATACATAGCTCAGACAGGCTTTCATTTGTAATGGAAGTGCTGAATGGAAGGGAACTATCAAGAAAGTGCCAAACCATTACAACTATATAGCACTGGGAAGGAATCAAGATAAGGATTAGGGGTGGGAAGGGGGGATGGAATGTTGCCCAACCACTTGGACGGTCAGGGTTTTAACGCCGATCTGCATGAAGTGAGACCGTCGCTCTACTGTCCAGCCTAAGTAGAAGTGCTGACACACACACACATGTAAATAATGCAACACTGGCTATCCTCACATGGAGGATGAGCAGGAAAAAGCTGGGAGGAAGGAATGGGAATGAAGGGGAATGAATGGGGGATTCAAGAGTGACATTCCCAGTTGTAGACTGAGGAAGGGCAGAAGAATGATACGAATCAGTTGATGTCTCAGTGGTGAGGGCAAGAAAACAGTTTCATATCAGGAGACCAGGAGATTGGATCAAAGTCTCCTGTTGAGCAGCACAAGCACATGTAACATTCTAGAAGAGGCTATGCACCATAAATGATGCCTTGCCTTGGAGAAGAGGGCATTGTCCTTATGCTTGAGGTTGAGAATAAACTGTTCCACTTTATAGTAAATACAGAATCATGAAAATGCAGGGTGGGAGTAAGAATCTGAGGGGGAATAAGTGTACGTGTGTGTAGTAGGAGAAATATGCATATACCAAGATATATTCAAATTAATTTCCTTGCACCTCCAACCACTATAGAGCCCAACAAGGCAAGATATACCCTCCAGTGCCCACTTAACCCAAATCGGGCAAAATTCACTAGCCAAACTTACAGATTTAGTCGGGCCATGTTGAGCCTTCCACTTTTCCTCTATTCCTGCCCCTAAAAAGTGTTTTGACCCCCAAGAACCACAACTCCTGGGTATATTCAAATTCCAGATGAAAGATATTGAGGAATATGATACATATGCATGAAAATGCATTGTTGGTTTGGCCATAAAATGTATTTCCTTGTACACCACCACAGCAGACAGGAGAAAGGAGCTGTTGCCACCCTTACCCACCCGAGGGTGGCGTACAAGAGTCCTCTCACCATATGAAGATAGCATTCAGAGGGAAGTATCATTCATAGTATGAAACATGCTCCACAGGTCCTGGTTATGCTTCTTTTCCTACATCATAAATGTTTATCCCAATTATTTTAAGGAACAAAATATAAGGAAATTGTGGCACATACAAAATAGAGTCCTCATACAAAATAGTGCAGACCGCATCCCAAACTCATCTGCTGACAGAAAGCGATAGGTATAAGCTAATGCAGTTCACCTGAAACATTACTAACAAAGAACCATGAACAAGCTTTATGATGGCTACAAATTTTTCTGACAAAAGATATGAACAAGTGAACAAAGGTCACTTCCAAACCTTCCTGACAGATATGAACAAATCATATACAACGTCAAACTTCCCTGACAAATACAAACAAGGCAACTTGGATCACTTCAAACTTCACTAACAAAAAGAGCACAAACAACGTAACAGTTTGTTGAATTAAACATTAAATTTGTTTTTATGATGTGGTTTAATTACTGTTCAATGAACTGAATTGCATTTAGTGTTACAGATACTTACATCAAACCATCTATAGTATCTTCATTTGCTGAATGGCAAGAAATATAGTCGTTGCCTGATGATGTGCCATTTAAGGTCGAGTCATCCTTTTCATTCACTTCACGTTCATCAAAATTGTTGTCCCAGTCTATATAAACTATGTTTGGATACATATTTTTATTCATTCTATTAACTTCAAAAGTTGAAGTATCAGAGGATGTGTGATAGGTATTATCTTGAGCCCCAACACATTCAGACGAGTCTGAACCGGATGTAACATCACGATCAATCAAAGGCATTTGAGATGGTTCATTGTCATTTCCCTGGTGCCTGTCACACCTTTTCTCATCAGTGTGTTGTGATACGCAAGACCTGGGAGTTGTATCCCAGGTCTTGTGTATGGTGGGTGTATCTGGCATCATACACACCTGCTTTTCCAGTGCTGTATCAGCCAATACATGGTCAAACAGAGAACAGCTTTCCATGACATTGTCACTTGTGCTGCTCATTTTCTAATTTGAAACAAAATGCTGTCAAGACTTTCGACTCTGGAAAATTGTCTAATCCTTAATTTCATATCTCCAACAAATATCCGACAGCTCACAGAACATTAGGAATATACTGTACATGATGAAAAAGACCGATTCAGTATTATACTATGGTTTAACTTGTACATCAAGCTATTTCCAAATCCTGTGACATTTGTTCCTTAAAGAGCACTCCTTAATTGCAAGTCATAATATGTTAATGAATCAAGGGTCACATTCACAATATATCTTGAACAATTGACAGCTCATCAGAACATTAGTGATAGCACCAGTACAGTACTAAGTAAAGTTATATCTTGCTTCAACAAATGCTTAAACTCTACAGTTTAAATCTTGTAGAAGCCTTTTTGTTTTTAGAAAATATAATATTTATTCCATTATACTTATGATAGGAACACCAGGATGGTCAAATATAGATTGCATCAACACTCCTGTGAAGCCAAACAGCCATAATTCAGAAAAAATTCTAATACTCAAAACATTTACTGAAAGAGCAAGGAGGAATAGAAAATGCAGTAGAGAAAATACCCCACAGCAGTGCTTATAATTGCACCCATCCCTAAATTATTTGTTATGATACCCTTTTCATATCACACACGTGCCACAAGAACAAACCCCCTTCAAAATCATCTAGCTAAAGATTATACAATATAGCTAGACAAAAATTTAATATCACATTATACAGTACTTACCAGTTCCTATCATATTCCACTACCTGTTCTCTTTAAAAGAAAAGATCAAGTGTAGAATTTAATTAAACATTTCTGGGTGGCCTTAACAGCTCCTCAGTAGATTCAGCTGTGGGACCCCAGACACAATTCTACCAGGCCTCTGAACTTGTGCAGGTTTACAGAGCACAAGGATCAGAATCAACTGTGCTCATAGATGGGAACATTGAGATCAGATATCAATCTTAAACCCCCCTAAAAAAAAATTTTCAGAAAATACAGTTACAGTACCTGGAGCATATCTGGAAAGGGTTTCGGGAGTTCTTCTACTCCCCGAGCCTGGCCTGGGGCCAGGCTTGACTTCTGATAGCTTGGTCCAACTGGCTGTTGCTTGGAGTGGCCCATTGAAGCAATACAAACTATGCATCTTGAATAAAGAGGGAAGAGAAGTACACTAAGGCAAGTAGTAGTTTGCTAATGGTAAACAATAATTGTCCCAGTACCCATGTGCACCATCAGTCAACAGCTCAGGTTATTCATGGGTCAAGTCAGCCTGTAACCTCCCTCACATCTTGCCTGCCAAGATGCACCCTATCCCCATGGTAAAGAAGAGCAACAAGATATAGGTACAGAAAGCTACTGAGGCCATCTAGAAAAGGGTTTCATTACATTCAATGCTTGATTTCTGGGTTGGCCCTAGGTTTACTTTACCCTGTGCATTCTCACAACCGAGCGTCTGGAAACTGACCTTGCTTTAATCAGATTAATAAAATAACAAATCCAAGAAACATGCAGGTCATGTACTGTATACACAATGCAGAGCAAGGACAGGACTTTTTTTTTTTCTTAGGCACACAACTAATTTGTTAAACTCTTATCAACAGGTTAAATTTGTTAAATTTGTTAAATTTGTTAAATTTGTTAAACTCTTATCAACAGGTCTTAAGTATGGGGTATCAACAATTAAGTATGAAGTTACACACTCTATTCGGGCACATGGCTAACACAAATGAAGAAGCCCCAGAAAGAAGAACACCCAAACCCCCTCAAGAAGATAACTTTGGTGAGGAAATGGAAATGTGAACCAACACCAACTGAATGTAACCTTGAAACAACTAACAGGCTACGGACACGCAAGGTGGGTAGCATATGCATAATCATGAAGCGTAAATAGGAACCAAAATCATCTACATACAGCTTCTCGAGACAACGTCTCAAGGAACACTTTACCAGTTGTCTAGAAGATAAAGGTATATCAATAACGATATTTACGAAACTGCGATACGTAATACTGCACTTATTACAGCTAAACACAGATGCCAAGAAATATAAGAAAATTCAAAATAGAGTGGTAGACGGTAACAAGTTGAGTGAGAAGGTGGTGGAGGCTCAGTAAAAGCGTTACACTCCACCACGAGCGTACCATCCTGTATAATTAGGTAATTACAGGTAATTACACTTAGGTAATTACTCCCATACCAATAATCAAGTTGTTTTTTCAGATGATAGAATGGAGGGAATTCCGAGCTTTTTTGAGGCTCAATAGCTCCCACAGCTTATACACATTACTGTATTACCACATGCCCAATACCAACTCACCAGGCATCTCAACACTTTCTCATTGGTCTTTTAGAGACAGGGATAAAATTCCTGTTCCTTCACAGAAACAAAACGAGCTAAATATGTCATAGATATCGCACACTGAGGAAAAAGCCTGCCAAAAAAGACAAAAAGCGTCACAAAGGTACATATTTTGCTATATTTTGAGGAGTGTCTTCTTCGTTGAACTTTCTGGGCAGGGTGATGGTGATCCACTAAATTCAGAACTGACCTGTGCTCAGTATGGCTTGATAGTGTGCCAGGTAGCTGACACTTCTATTCTAGTCTAGTGCATTTCATTAGAGTATAGCCTCATAGAGAGATTTCCATTCCTGTGTTTGGTAGAGGGTTTTTCTTAGTACTTTCTAGGTGGAGCAATGATGAATCTCCAAGTTCTTAGCTGACCTGTGCTCAGTGTGGCTTGGCAGTATATCTAGTTCTTACCAAGCACAAGAGTTCTTAACTAGGGGTTATTTATACATGAGGAGTATGTTATGCTTTTCAACTTTAAAATAAATTTTAAGTACATGGCAAAATATTGAAGAAATTGGTCATGGCCTTTGTGAGAAAGTTGGAGTATGCAGTGGTTGTATTGTGCCCATATCTCAAGAAGCACATCAATAAACAGAAAAGGTGCAAAGATATGCAACCAAATGGCTCCCAAAAGTGAAAAACAAAAGTGAGGAGAAATTAGAGCCATTAAATATACCAAAGCTTTAAGATAGAAGAAAATGAACCGATATGATCATTACGTACAAAATAGTAACAGGTATCGACAAAATTGACAACGAAGAATTTTTTAAAACTGCAACTTCAAGAATAAGAGGACATGGGTTCAAACTAAGGAAACAAAGCTGCTGAAAAGAACATTGGAAAGTTTACTTTTGCAAACAGCGTAGTAATCAGTTGGAACAAGTTAAATGAGTAGGTAATAGAGGCCAAAAACTATCAGCAGTTTCAAAAGTCATATGACAAGAGTACTGGGATGACAGGACACCATGAGCGTAGCTCTCATCTTGTAGCAACACTAAAGTAATTTCACTTGGGTAATTACATTAAATTGTACCAGGTCCTTGGGGAGTCAATAAAAACCTACTAGGGACTAGAGGCCAAAACCTGGCCCCCTCATTGGAGCACAGAGAGTCCTGGTAGTACAGTTAGGTTAATTCTCGACTCGACTGGGAATTCTGGGTTCGAATCCTGTTCAGGACAGAAATGGTTGGACATATTTCCATTCACCTAATTCATCTGTTCAAATAGGTACCCCAAGAGTTTGGCAGCTGTTGTGGGTTGCATGCTGGGGAAAGTCAGTAGCTTGCCCAAGGGAATCTCGATACACAAAACTACAGACTTCCTGTTATCAACAACAGGAATTACATGATTATCCTATAGAGAGGCAGGGAAACTCTTGACAAAGCAGTATCCGATCTAATTCAATGTGCACTTGGCTCCTCATTTTGGGTGCACAATGCTAACCCAACAGCATACACTACTATTGAATTATGTGTTAACGTATTTTCCATCCTGAGCGAGATTTGTGTTGCTTCGCTATGACAGAATTTCAGTAAATATGACATTTTGCACCAAAAACTCTGAAATAAAATTTGGAGCCTCTTGCACCTAACGGATGCAGGATAATAAGGATAAACTGTCCAGAGTGGTGCTGCCGTGAACATGTTGGAAAGTAATGAAGCTGATTAGACTCTTTAATCATAGATATTAATTCCCTCGGTACTCCTAATACTAGACATACTTTGAACTTTGGTAATGTGCATCTCCAATGATCCCCAAAAATGGTGATGGATTAGATACCAAGAATGGACAACAACAAAAATAAATGAATAAATAAAACTGCTATATAAAAAATGATGAAATATCATTAAAAAATGGGTTACCACACACTAACAAAACTAACTGCTTTAAACAATTAGTCAAATATATTTAAAGTAAAAATATAATAAATAGTCAAGTTGCAAATAAAGTTACATTACATGCAAATACTGTACTGTTGTTATTGTTGATGAATTTAAGGGCGATGACGTAATTAGACGTATGTACCCTGCCAAACTAGATTCCCGGTATGAAAACAAGATGGAAAACTACCCTAAGAGCAAAACGTAGCCAGATGGCAAAATAAAACTACCCAGTGGCGCAGACCACCTGGCAACACCCGATTATCCCGGCAGGGCAGGTACTGGCAACCCACACCACCCACAGGGTAACAACCCTGGCGGAAGGAGAGGCAGGTGCCCTCCACCTCCAGAGGGAACATAAGACTCCAGACCCCCGCTCAACGGCCGAAGTACAAATCAGAAATCGAGTATGTTCACTCACAGGACGAGTGACGCTGCCCAATAAACTCGCCCATTGGGGCAAAATTAAAAACAATAAAAAATAAAAAATAATTCATCAACGCCCCCGAGGCAATACAGTATGACACCTAGTGTCGCAACCACCCGGGCAGTTGAAGGAAGATGCTTTATGGCAAAACGTAACCTTATGAGCAGGAAAAGTGAAACGGTAACCGGCGACCCCTAGGCGGAGCAGAAGTCAGGCGTCCACACAGTGTCAAGGTTGAACCAGGAACCTCCAAACTACGAGACGACTTTTTTAACGACGTCTCATAAGCAACAGCTGAGCGGCTCTCCAGGTCAGGGAGTCGATCTATAAATATTTACTATGTGTTTTCGTAACTTTCTTAAGTATAACATCTATAGATTAGATTAGATTAGATTAGATTAGATATTTTATTCGTGTAAACGTACATACATTGAGTTACATACATAATGTTGGATTTAAAGATAGAGATAGTACATACAATACCTAAAGCCACTATTACGCATAGCGTTTCGGGCAAGGTGTGGGGAAAAACCCCCCACTTAGACTAAAACTTAATAGTA